ATCCACAAGTGTCTATTAAGTGGCAGCTTATGTTGCACGCATGGTAAATATAGACAATCCACAAGTGTTTATTAGGTGAATATCATGTTGTGTGCATGGTAAATACAGACAATCCACACGTGTCTATTAAGTGGCAGGTCATGCTGCACGCATGGTAAAAATAGACAATACACAATTGTATATTAGGTGGCAGTTCATGTTGCACGTAGGGTAAATGTAGACATTCCACAAGTGTTTATTAGGTGGCAGTTCATGCTGCACGGAGGATAAATATAGACAATCCACAAGTGTATATTAGGTGGCAGTTCATGCTGCACGCATGGTAAAGATAGACAATACACAATTGTATATGAGGTGGCAGTTCATGTTGCACGTAGGGTAAATATAGACATTCCACAAATGTGTGGCAGTATTGTTCATATGTGTATTTTCTGTATTTATTTACATGTTTTGTAATGAAATGATTTTTTTATCTTTTACTGTGTTGCATTAAATTACATAAACATGTATAGCTGCTGTATTCTACAGCGCTGCTTTCAGCAGAATAATGACAGAATCTCTGGTCCCTTGACCATGTTGACAACCACAGTCATTGGCTTTGTGTCCTATTTCATCTCTTTAGATCGTCTTAACAGGTTAGTAATGTTTATACGTATTGTTATAATGTACTTGTATTCATTTGTGTAAACAGTTGTAGTGTTGCAAAGTCTTAATACTTATTTCGATAAGTCATTGCATACAGTCATATAATTGCAGCCATTTAAATGAGAGAAATCCAGCACTGTATATCTTCACCTTTGCACAATGTTTCATCTGGGAATGAGTGAGCGAATGCGTATGTATTTATTATGTATGTGTTTGTTTATAACTATGTTATTTATAGATCATTTACAGCGCGTAAAGGTATGTTATGTGTAACACATAGTTCATGTTTGCTAAGATTACCAGTTTTTACTAAATGAGTATATTTTTCTGTATATACTGAACAACAAAAGTTCCTGTGACATTGAAAAAGATTTAATGCAAAGTTATATTTTTTACTAAATCTGAAACAATTTCGGTTTGTAACAGATAAAAGACTCCTGTAAGTGTTCAAATGGTGTAAAAAAAACATGAACATGCCAAAATGTCAATTTACAAATCAATAGCGTGTGTGTCCACCTGTGGTTGCGATGCAAGCAACACATCTTCGTCTCGTGCAACGGACCAGGCGTCGCACAAAGTCCTGTGGGATATCTGTCCATATCTGCTGGAGCATGTTTCGAAGTTCCTGGAGTGTCTGTGGAACACGTGGTTGACGTCGAAGGCGCCGATCCATCTCATCCCTAATGTGCTCGATTGGTGAGAGATCAGGGGAGCGAACCGGCCAGGGGATAACATTCACGTTGTTTTGTTGAAGGGATACCTGAACAAGTCGAGCAATATGAGGCCGGGCGTTGTCATGTTAATGGTAATGCCTGGGCCATGACGACGCAAAAATGGTAGAACAACAGGGCCGATGATCTCGTCGCGGTTGCCCTGTCCATTGAGATTTCCCTCTACCGCTATCAAACGGGTCCTCTGGCTTGCTGTAATCCCACCCCATACCATAACGCTGTCACCCTCGAACCGTTCTTCTTCCATGACACAATGATTGACGTAACGTTCACCTCTACGTCGGTACACTCGAATCCGTCCATCGCTGTGGCTGAGGTGAAAACGAGACTAGTCAGTGAATAGAACTTGTCTCCACTGCATGGCCGTCCAGCGTAGACGCTGTCTGCACCATTGTAGACGTGCTTGACGGTGGTTTCCTGTCAAAATAGGACGTCTGGCGGGTCTTCTTTCAACAATCCCTGCACATCTGAGGCGGCGACGTACGGTTTTTGAAGATATTCTTCGACGGCCAGGGGTGCTTTTTACAGTCACTGTTGCTGGCTGGAATCGATTTCGTAGGTGTGTTGTTCGAATCCAGTTGTCTTGTCAATTATTGGTTACGCGTGGCCTGCCACTCCGAGGATGGCCTCTGACTGCATTCGTATGTTGCCAACGTTGCCATAAACACCAAATGGTGTTTCTGTGGACCTTAAATTGTCTTGCAACATCACGTTGACTCGCTCCTGCTTCAAGCATAGGAATGGCTCACAGACGCTCATTTTCGGACAGGCGTGGCGTTTCGTAATGTTGAATAATTGCGTAATTTTGTTGTTTTTTCTGAGTGGTTGTTGTCAGCACGATGCTAAACAATGCATATCGAATCCAGTTAACGCACGTTTTTATACCCATTCTTGGGTAGTGAAATGCATGGGGCTTGCATAAAAGTTAACTTTTGCATGGAATGGATGCTTTTCTGTAGCAGTTGCGTTTTTGTGCCTTGATTCCATACATGTACTACAATATTAAAAAAAACAACTTTACTTGTATGAAAAATACACTAAAATATTGGTGTCACAGGAACTTTTGTTGTTGAGTATATTTGTATTTAGATGCAGGTATTTTAATCTGGTCAGTTCATATTTCCTGACCTCAGTTCGCGCCCCAGTTTCACCTACAGGGTTTGCGTGTATTTTCTTGGACATTAATGTTATCAATAATATTATTTACCATCATACATGTATGGGGATACAAATATATACATAGTTACTGTATCTTACACACATCATTCAATGCATTGGTAAAAAACAATAGTCCAGTCTATTTCTATGATGTCGTCCGTGTGACGATGTGAATGAATATAACTATATCTGAATGTGAATGTGGCGTACCCTTACATATACACTCTTCTAAAAAAGAAAGGCACAGGTAGATTTTTAGTAAATTTATTGCACCAAATAAAGTCGATATATTTAATTAAATATCATAGATACAAATATGAAATTTTGGAGCTCGATAGTCACATGATGTCGTTGTACAAAGGCATTGAAATATGTTGTCATGTCATATAAGGCCACAAGGTTGCGCTCGTCACGATATGACTGAAATATTGCCGATGTGACGTAAAGCATTAACTCACTCACTCACTCACTCACTCACAAGGTTGCGCTGAACTCAGTATCTCGTGTGACCGCCCCGGGCAGCAATCACGGCTCTGCCTCTACTCGGCACTGACTGGATAAGTGTACGAATTCTTTTCTGCGGAATACTGCGCCATTCTGCTTGTAATGCGTTGGCCAGTTGTGGGATTGTCTGCGGCGTGTTCTGATGTTGACGTACACGTCTCGACGGCCAGGGCAATACGTTGATGTTGGTGTTATGAAGGTAGTCTACCGTGACACGAGCTGTGTGCGATGGAGCGTTGTCCTGTTGAAACAGCTCCCGCTGGTCAATAATTGGAAGAAGGTGAGCTCGAACAATTTGATTCATGTAGCGATTTGCTGTCGAATTCACGTACACAATGTGGGGCATAACGCACATTTCGACGACGATAAACATGTTGTCTTCCATCTCGCGGACTCGTCTCCAGTTTCTCAAATTTCAAGGCTGAAAGGTATGGCACAAACGCAAGCGTCGCTGTCGATCGATCAGTTGCAAAACAGGGACGATAAATGGTCTTCTGGGTCGGATTCCAGCCTCGCGAAGATGGTTCCTGAGAGTCTGGTCCGATATCCTCCTCAAACCAGGGATAACTCTCGGTCGGCCGCTTCTCGAACGGTCTGCAGTGGAATTGAACTGTGTGTCGGTGCTGAGGTGGACGTTGAAGTTGCTTGCAACAGAAGACTCATCTCGTTGGAGACGTCCTATGGCGATGTTCCGATCGGCAGCGCTGAGTCTCGGCATTTTCGAACTTGATAAATGTTGACAAAAGAATGACAAATTATTGGCTTAGCTTGCCTTTTTATAGTCACTACCACGAATTACGAATGCTATAACTTACACGTGCTTTTTTTTTCCTTTACTGTTTTCCTCCATGACATTTTTGAGCAAGTGTGAAAACAATGCCGTTTAAGACATTGCAAATCGACAATGGCTGCGTTTTGACGCACCGTTTGTCGAATATCAGACAACCAACATTTTCCAATAACATATATCCAATATATATACGGGATTTTTTGTTGTGGTCAGGTTCGATGAACTGCATACCTGTGCGTTTCTTTTTTTTAAGAGTGTATATGTCTATGTGTGTGTGTGTGTTTGTGTGTGTGTTTATGTATTTATATATGTATTATTTATATTTATTAACATATATATATAAACGTGTGTATTTACGTAAGTATAATTATGTTTCAAGGCGTTTGTTCTGACCGTCGTCATTAAATCCTCCTTACATAGAACGACCAGTGTTATTTTTTAACATCCCCGGTTATAGTGAATGAGTGAGTGAGTGAGTCTGGTTTTACGCCGCTTTTAGCAATATTCCAGCAATATCACGGCAGGGGACACCAGAAATGGACTTCACACATTGTACCCATGTCGGAATCCCTATACTATAAACGTTGTTATAAAAGTACATTAATTGAAGAAGATGTTATCCATAAATCCTCTACTGTGTCCCCCGTCAACTTCCAAGAAATGCTAACAAAACAGTTAAAAAATGGTTATTTGTTGGTGCGGTACAGGTATTGGGTTTGCAGTGTTTCGGCGACTGTTTTCAGTCTTGTAACGTTTTGGTAACATTTGTAATGTTTTGGTCAAATCCAATTTCATGTGTAAACTTTCCCACCAATTCAGCGAGCCTGACCACCCGATCCCGTCAGTCGTCTCTTATGACATTCATAGTCGCCTTTTAAAGAATGGGTAGCTGAAGATGACAGATAAACAACATACATTTTGTGAAATTCAAACTGGAGATAAAGGTAGGAAATCAGAGTACATTATAAGAAGCGGCGGTCTTTAACCAGCAGTAAAGCTCTTTTAAAACAGAACCTTGCTTATCGACATGAAAAATCAATTTAAGAGAACCAACAACATGCGCGAGTTCGAATAGAATACGTTCCTTTTTTATAATCAACACACAGCTAGCGTTGTTTTGCATCCTAACCAAGGCTGTCAGGAGTTTCCGAGGAACCAATCAAATAACAGTATTGCCTGTCTACTCGCACCTGCGATCGACGGAAACTGAACGTAAAGATGTCGGTACAGTCTTTAGTAAGCAAGAAGAAACGAAGTTTCATCGGGTTGCCGGCTCCACTTGGCTACGTGCCAGGTCTTGGAAGAGGGTAATGAACTGTTGTACCTCTGGTTTTAATTCTGTGGTTATGTCAAGTGTATAAAACATTCATTCTTTGTGAGAATAGTTATTGTCCGATAATCGATCACATTATTAAATGAAAGCTGAGTAAGTAAGTTGCACAGCATTAGGGGAACATCAATGTAAACGTGCTGTTTTGTTAATGAACCCAGACATTTACTCGTTTAAAGGTCATTTCGTCGAATTCGATCACATGTGTGAGTCAGAAGACGGTAATAGCAGTAGTGGTATTTGGGTATTTGACACATGTATCATTGTATGGGCTTTGTATGAACTTTCACTTATTTTCTTCTTACAACTAAAACTGAAGTTAAGATTATGTTTATTTCCTTTAAAAACCTTGGAAACCATTGTGAAAATATAGATTCATCATTGTTGTTGTTTTATTAAAGAATCTTTAATATTTGAAACTGTTATAACTTTAAAAAATGCCTCATTGTCATTCAAATATCTTCATCTTCCAGAGCAACAGGATTCACAACTCGATCTGATATTGGTCCAGCCAGAGATGCCGATGATATTCCGTATGTATTATATCAGAACTTGTACACATGGTATATCAATGCAGGGGTAGATTTAACTGGCCAGTTCAAATTACAAAGGGATTGCTGAAACGTAAAGTAGAAGGCCCTTCTTGCTGGTCAACATTTCTCCCCTTTTCCATGGACACTACTCATGAATCATGTAATTTTGATAAGAAAATATTTAGGGGGAATGAGGTCTTGTGAATGGTTAACCGACAGAAAGATATATGTCATTCATCTCAGTAGAATGACAACCAGTTGTCATTTTGTTATGTTGTGTGCAACGACATCTTTATTTGCTCATAAATCAACATGAAATGAGCCAAGGTATAATCTTATGACGGCAGGAAAAGGCATTTCAGGGGTGAGGCATTCTAAAATTTTCAGAGCCCCTCTAGCATGTCTAGGTGGCGATGTGACCATAGGTTCGGCCACTTCGTGACCCCCACCATTTAGTCGTAGGCCAGTTTGGAGTAGGGCCAGTAACTTTCAAAAGGAGCAAGCCCTGCTGGCTACATACATATTTGTAGTATAATCTACCTTTGCAATGACGACTGTAAGAGGTTTGTGGAAGTTGAATGCCAATCCATTCCACTCCCGATCCTTCGTATATCATTTCTACCGTGTCATTTTTGGAATTCTGCCTTCTGATGGGTCTGCCAGAGGTATTGAGTCTGCGTTAGCATGGTCAGAACATGATTGCTGATGACCGCATTACCACGAAAACAAATATTTATTCAGAAGCACAGGTTTTGCAAACCTGCATTTTGACAATTTCAAATACTGATCTTACTTCTATGATATTGTTAAATAACATGTTGCCTACATTATTTACCACATGTGTTGCAATATATTTCACAGCTTCACTTTTGCCTCTTCTCTTATCACCTGCTGTGACATCATTTCTTCCGTGTCACATTGCTCAGACTTCACATCTGTAGAACTTTATGATAACTTCTTTTTTTCTAGGGATGCCAATTTGAATAATCATTATTGCAAACAGGATATCTACCTAATGAGTTTATTGTGTCTCACTGAAGAGATTTACGTATTATGGTGATATTATTATTGTGGTACATATACAGTCAAGTCTCGTTAATCCGACACTCGGCTTTATCCGACACAAATGATGGGAACCGATTGATTCAGCGCTATTTAGTCCCGTTAATCCGACATTCTCGCACTCCGACTCCGACACACCTAATTTGCAACGAATTACCAAAATCACTCATTAATCAGTCTCGTTAATCCGACACAGTGGTCAGCGTACTCCGTGGTCATCTGCCCGCGAGTACACAACCCCGTGTTTTGACACGCACTGGCTGCAGAGATTAACTTTAACAATTAACACTAGATGCCGGGATCATAAAGAATTTCAAGCTTTATTATAAGAAACAAATGAAATTACACCTCGACAATGTTGATGCTAAAGAGCCACCAGCCCTAGACGTCAAGCGAACAGGGGACTTTGAGAAATGTGCCTTCAAAATGTGAGAAACAGAAAACACTGACAGACTATTTTAAGTAGATGAAGCAAGTTGTTAAGACAGTAGCACTTGCATTTACACGAGGAAACACACGGTTATTATCTATCGTGAAGATGTCCGATTTTCGATCACAAATCACTTAATTTCGTTCATCCGACATACTCGTTAATCCGACACAATCATGTGCAACCAACGATGTCGGATTAACGAGACTTGACTGTATGTAAATTAAAACCGACCTTCTCTGATCACCGAATTTGCCCTTTCAACCTACTGAAAATATTCTGCTCAATCAAAGAAACATCACTAATTCATTTCTTCTATAACCAAAGAGTTGTGTCATGGTAGAATGGATATAAGCCTGGTGTGTTTTCAATGTAGAAGTTTCAAAATTTGATTTGATTCCTGTAAATTTTTCAGCTTCAAAACTTCAATAATCAAATCTACGTTCGAAATTGGAAACACTCTTGGTTTATCTCCTTACTGACTATTTGTTATGACATTGTCCACAAGTCATACTACAGGGTTTGATAAACTGGACAAATGCCAGTAAATATAAAACAGAATCTGTAATTGTTGATCATGTTGATGAGAGTGGTCAAACTGGCTCGTAGAACATATGACATGCCGCAGTCCCCTTATTTTATTTCAAAAAATTTAGGTTTAACATGTTCAGCAGAATGAATTATCAGAATTGTATTTGTGGTATGAAAATGGGAAAACATATTTTAATTTTGCTAATTTTCATGCAAGTTTCCTAAAGAGCGGTGATATTTCTCTTGCAATGGGCCTTTTGGGCTACCTGAAAAAGTTTGTCAAACAGTTTACACACACTGTACAATTTCATTCTCTGATGATCCTTTCTAAAGGCCTCTTCATGTATTATCCTGTTTCTAGTGAGGACCGTCATGCTCCTCCAATAAAGAAGTCTAAGAAAGATCAGGAAGAAGATGAGGAGGAAGACTTGAATGACGCCAACTATGATGAGGTCAGTTACAGTCACAAACATTACCATGATCATGAGGATTAAGAAAGTATTCTTTGAAGAATATAATGGGCTTGATCAGTGTTTGTGATTGATGTTTTATCTGCCTGGGACAGGGTTTTTTGTATCTGTCAGTCATAGGACATGTATTGATAGCAAGACAAATGCCAGACATCACTATTTTTTACGGTCAGTTTCATTTTCATAAAGTTAAGAATAAGATACAAATATGTATACCAGATAGATTCAAATTCACTCTAGTAATACTGTGACTCAAGTGGCAGTAATACTGTTAGCTTGACTGTGACTCTAGTGACAGTAATACTGTTAGCTTCACTATGACTCTAGTGACAGTAATACTGTTAACTTCACCATGACTCTAGTGTCAGTAATACTGTTAGCTTCACTTTGACTCTAGTGGCAGTAATACTGTTAACTTCACCATGACTCTAGTGTCAGTAATACTGTTAACTTCACCATGACTCTAGTGTCAGTAATACTGTTAGCTTCACTATGACTCTAGTGTCAGTAATACTGTTAGCTTCACTATGACTCTAGTGTCAGTAATACTGTAAGCTTCACTATGACTCTAGTGTCAGTAATACTGTTAACTTCACCATGACTCTAGTGACAGTAATACTGTTAGCTTCACCATGACTCTAGTGACAGTAATACTGTTAGCTTCACTGTGACTCTAGTGTCAGTAATACTGTTAGCTTCACTGTGACTCTAGTGACAGTAATACTGTTAGCTTCACCATGACTCTAGTGTCAGTAATACTGTTCACTTCACCATGACTCTAGTGTCAGTAATACTGTTAGCTTCACTATGACTCTAGTGTCAGTAATACTGTAAGCTTCACTATAACTCTACTGGCAATAATACTGTTTGCTTCACTGTGACTCTAGTGGCAGTAATACTGTTTGCTTCACTATGACTCTAGTGGCAGTAATACTGTTAGCTTCACTATGACTCTAGTGTCAGTAATACTGTAAGCTTCACTATAACTCTACTGGCAATAATACTGTTAACTTCTGGTTGATGTAATCCTCCAAAAGCACAATTAACTACCAATTCACCTGATCAGAACAACAATTGCATTCCAGTTTGCTGGCTATGGGGGTAGTCTCTGCAGTAAGGACCCTTACGACAAGGATGACGAGGAGGCAGATGCCATATATGATGCTGTTGACAAACGGATGGATGAAAAGAGAAGGGAGAGGAGAGAGGAAAAGCTTAGGGAAGAGCTGGAGAAATTCCGTCAAGAAAGACCCAAAATTCAACAACAGTTCTCTGATCTAAAGGTGATAGAATTTTGTCTGTCATAGTTAGCATGTCATTGGGGTCATTGTTTTGTCGCTTGACGTCACTCAGTAACATTTGTTGTTTTGTTTTTCTGACTCACCAAGAATAGCTGAAATATTGCTGACACAGCATATAGCACTGAGAGAATAACCAACAAGCTACAAGGAATTACCGATTATCTGTCTGGTGTTAATTTACAACATTCATTCAAGTATTTTATATATTACCATTTTATGAGAGAAATAAAGAAAAATATGTGACATGTGAACCCTAAGGAGAAACTTCACTGAAAATAGCCTACCGTATTCGACGTAATAAGCGCCCTGCTCTAATACATGTAATAAGCGCCCACGGAGGTATTTGCTAATATATTGGCAAGTGAACAATCCCAAATAGCACCCCTTCCAATTGATCAATGTTCACAAGACTTATTTATTCGCGTACAATACGCACTCGTGCGTTAAATGCACCCTTAATTATGGGCAATTAAATTCTAGAAAAATATATCTGTCGTACATAAACATTTCAGGCTGTCAGCATAAACCACGAAATTTATCTTTCAACTCTGTTTTTTTTCACCAAAATAATATTCTAATAAGAGCCCCCTATTTCTAATTTTGAGAGCGCACTGAGCGCTTATTACGTCGAATACGGTATTGTACATATGATGTTATTTAATCAATTCTCTCTATCCAACGACTGCCTCTGTTTCACGAGCAGGAATCCAGGCCAAAGCTGGCCAAGTGACTACAATGGTAAATGTAGACATGGTAGAAGATGACAGTTTATGGCTGGTTGCTTTTTGTATTATTTGTATTTATTAAGTCGTGTTCTGAATTTGTGATAATTTTGGTTATGAAGCCAATATTATTGTTTAGAAAATCTATTGCAATCCTCTGTTAGGATGAGATTATTGTCAGGAATATGTGCAGCAATTCTGTGATTGTATCTTACAGAGAGATCTTGCTGATGTGACAGTCACTGACTGGAACAACCTGCCAGAAGTTGGGGATGCTCGGACCAAGAGGCAGAGGAACCCACGGACAGAGAAGTAAGCCCTTCACACAGTCTTACTGGTCAATACCAAACGGTGCATAGTGTCACTGTCAGTGAGTTTCACTGTCACCGAGCTGGGGATTACAGGAATGGACTACACACACTGTAACCTTGTACACAGGGTCACACTGAGTATGGTAATAATTTGACAGGGGGACATATATACACAACTGATATTCAGATGTTAGGAACACTGAACACCCTCCTTGATTATTATCCCCCGCCATCTAAGGGATACATGTCAAGACTGTTTCGAAAGTTGGGACTGCCTCCGTGGTAGAGTGGAAGGTCCAGGGTTCGATCCCCGGCCGCGTCATACCAAGACGTTAAAAGATGGTACTTGTTGTTACCCGGTCTGGCGCTCGGCATTAAGGGGCTAAAACAAGGACTGGTCGGCTCGGAGTCAGTATACTGTGTCTGAGTGGGGTATTCATGTTAAACTGCGGCATGGTATCTCAGTGAGCTAGCACTATAAATCGGCATCGGTCTGGACTAGTACAAGCAACCACACAAACACACACACACGTACATGCACATCGCTATATAAGTGCAATAATCTTGGACGCGACGTTAAACCCGATTTCACCTCACCTCACCTTTGAAAGTTGGTCCTGTAAATTAATTTTTTTCTGAGTTACTTCCCTTGCTTTTAGATTTTGAGCATACACAGTTTTGGCCCTTGATCCATGTTATTTTACAAAGTGCGTGGTGTTCAGCGTTTAACTTATCTAAGTGATACTAAGTGGTACTCATCAAGACTGAGTTCAAGAATTGCTGCCATAAATTATTATTTTCCATTTTGAAAGGATGTTATCATGGTTATAGCTCCCTGTTACAGTCCACTGTGTGGGCCATAGTCCGTTCTATAAAAACCTGATTTGAAGGATTACAGGTACTGATAACTGCCAAGAATAATTCCAAACATTGTATGCAGTGAGTGAAGCCAGTGATGCCTTCACAGTGTTATTGATGGAATGTTGTTAAAATGTAAGATGGCATGGCTGTAGTTAACTGATGACATGCCTCTGTTGCAGGTACACACCCGTCCCGGACAGCATCCTGGCTAGAGCAGCAGCATCTACAGGGATGAACAGTGCGCTGTCAGAGAAAGAACAGGTATCTTCTTATTATGAATGATAAGCATCCATGGAGCAAATGAATGCTTCAGTTGGAAGACAACTGTCTCAATTCAAATGAAGGATGCAGTCAATAATAAAGATTTACGTGGAGGTCTTTAGATTAAGATACTACAGCAGAAATCTAAACATGCTCAAGGACCCTCTTTCCAACACTGGCTTTATTTTATGAGATAGTTTCCTGAAAGTACACCTTGTCTAACTCAGCGACTGAACGAAAAACTTTTGTTTAATAATATTATGTTGTTGGTATGTGCATGACATTTGTGTATTGATGTCACAAACTAGAGGACGACTTAGAGAGCTCAGATGTTGAGTGTCAGGTTTTGAAGATCAGAGTGTATGTTCCAGCAATATGGAGGTCTGTCAACACCGGCCGGCTTCTCCACCCCCAGCGGGGACATCGACATGAAGAAGATTGGTCAGGCCAGGAACACACTGATGGGCATCAAACTGACACAGGTATGTAGTAGGGTGTCCTGTATGATAGGCATCAGGCTGACACAGGTATGTAGTAGGGTGTCCTGTATGATAGGCATCAGGCTGACACAGGTATGTAGTAGGGTGTCCTGTATGATAGGCATCAGGCTGACACAGGTATGTAGTAGGGTGTCCTGTATGATAGGCATCAGGCTGACACAGGTATGTAGTAGGGTGTCCTGTATGATGGGCATCAGGCTGACACAGGTATGTAGTAGGGTGTCCTGTATGATAGGCATCAAACTCACACAGGTATGTATTAGGGTGTCCTGTATGATAGGCATCAGGCTGACACAGGTATGTAGTAGGGTGTCCTGTATGATAGGCATCAAACTCACACAGGTATGTATTAGGGTGTCCTGTATGATAGGCATCAAACTCACACAGGTATGTAGTAGGGTGTCCTGTATGATAGGCATCAAGCTGACACAGGTTTGTATTAGGGTGTCCTGTATGATAGGCATTAAGCTGACACAGGTATGTAGTAGGGTGTCCTGTATGATAGGCATCAAGCTGACACAGGTATGTAGTAGGGTGTCCTGTATGATAGGCATCAAACTCACACAGGTATGTAGTAGGGTGTCCTGTATGATAGGCATCAAGCTGACACAGGTTTGTATTAGGGTGTCCTGTATGATAGGCATTAAGCTGACACAGGTATGTAGTAGGGTGTCCTGTATGATAGGCATCAAGCTGACACAGGTATGTAGTAGGGTGTTCTGTATGATGGGCATCAGGCTGACACAGGTATGTAGTAGGGTGTCCTGTATGATAGGCATCAGGCTGACACAGGTATGTAGTAGGGTGTCCTGTATGATAGGCATCAAACTCACACAGGTATGTAGTAGGGTGTCCTGTATGATAGGCATCAAGCTGACACAGGTTTGTATTAGGGTGTCCTGTATGATAGGCATCAAGCTGACACAGGTATGTAGTAGGGTGTCCTGTATGATAGGCATCAAACTCACACAGGTATGTAGTAGGGTGTCCTGTGTGATAGGCATCAGGCTGATGCAGGTATGTAGTAGGGTGTCCTGTATGATAGGCATCAGGCTGATGCAGGTATGTAGTAGGGTGTCCTGTATGATAGGCATCAAGCTGACACAGGTATGTAGTAGGGTGTCCTGTGTGATAGGCATCAAACTCACACAGGTATGTAGTAGGGTGTCCTGTGTGATAGGCATCAAACTCACACAGGTATGTAGTAGGGTGTCCTGTGTGATAGGCATCAAACTCACACAGGTATGTAGTAGGGTGTCCTGTGTGATAGGCATCAGGCTGACACAGGTATGTAGTAGGGTGTCCTGTGTGATAGGCATCAAACTCACACAGGTATGTAGTAGGGTGTCCTGTGTGATGGGCATCAGGCTGACACAGGTATGTAGTAGGGTGTCCTGTGTGATGGGCATCAGGCTGACACAGGTATGTAGTAGGGTGTCCTGTGTGATGGGCATCAGGCTGACACAGGTATGTAGTAGGGTGTCCTGTGTGATGGGCATCAGGCTGACACAGGTATGTAGTAGGGTGTCCTGTGTGATGGGCATCGGGCTGACACAGGTATGTAGTAGGGTGTTCTGTATGATGGACAACAAGCTGACACAGGTATGTAGTAGGGTGTTCTGTATGATGGACATCAAGCTGACACAGGTATGTAGTAGGGTGTCCTGTATGATAGGCATCAAGCTGACACAGGTATGTAGTAGGGTGTCCTGTATGATAGGCATCAAGCTGACACAGGTATGTAGTAGGGTGTCCTGTATGATAGGCATCAGGCTGACACAGGTATGTAGTAGGGTGTCCTGTAGGATAGGCATCAGGCTGACACAGGTGTGTAGTAGGGTGTCCTGTATGATAGGCATCAGGCTGACAGAGGTATGTAGTAGGGTGTCCTGTATGATAGGCATCAGGCTGACACAGGTATGTAGTAGGGTGTCCTGTATGATAGGCATCAGGCTGACACAGGTATGTAGTAGGGTGTCCTGTAGGATAGGCATCAGGCTGACACAGGTATGTAGTAGGGTGTCCTGTAGGATAGGCATCAAGCTGACACAGGTATGTAGTAGGGTGTCCTGTAGGATAGGCATCAGGCTGACACAGGTATGTAGTAGGGTGTCCTGTATGATAGGCAGGAAGCTGACACAGGTTTGTAGTAGGGTGTCCTGTAGGATAGGCATCAGGCTGACACAGGTATGTAGTAGGGTGTCCTGTATGATGGACAACAAGCTGACACAGGTTTGTAGTAGGGTGTCCTGTATGATAGGCATCAGGCTGACACAGGTATGTAGTAGGGTGTCCTGTAGGATAGGCATCAGGCTGACACAGGTATGTAGTAGGGTGTCCTGTAGGATAGGCATCAAGCTGACACAGGTATGTAGTAGGGTGTCCTGTAGGATAGGCATCAGGCTGACACAGGTATGTAGTAGGGTGTCCTGTATGATAGGCAGGAAGCTGACACAGGTTTGTAGTAGGGTGTCCTGTAGGATAGGCATCAGGCTGACACAGGTATGTAGTAGGGTGTCCTGTAGGATAGGCATCAGGTTGACACAGGTATGTAGTAGGGTGTCCTGTATGATAGGCATCAGGTTGACACAGGTATGTAGTAGGGTGTCCTGTATGATAGGCATCAAGCTGACACAGGTTTGTAGTAGGGTGTCCTGTAGGATAGGCATCAGGCTGACACAGGTATGTAGTAGGGTGTCCTGTATGATAGGCATCAGGTTGACACAGGTATGTAGTAGGGTGTCCTGTATGATAGGCATCAAGCTGACACAGGTTTGTAGTAGGGTGTCCTGTAGGATAGGCATCAGGCTGACACAGGTATGTAGTAGGGTGTTCTGTATGATAGGCATCAGGCTGACGCAGGTATGTAGTAGGGTGTCCTGTAGGATAGGCATCAGGCTGACGCAGGTATGTAGTAGGGTGTCCTGTATGATGGACATGAAGCTGACACAGGTATGTAGTAGGGTGTCCTGTATGATAGGCATGAAGCTGACACAGGTATGTAGTAGGGTGTCCTGTATGATAGGCAGGAAGCTGACACAGGTATGTAGTAGGGTGTCCTGTATGATAGGCAGGAAGCTGACACAGGTATGTAGTAGGGTGTCCTGTATGATAGGCAGGAAGCTGACACAGGTATGTAGTAGGGTGTCCTGTATGATAGACATCAAGCCCACACAGGTATGTAGTAGGGTGTCCTGTGTGATGGGCATCAAGCTGACACAGGTATGTAGTAGGGTGTCCTGTATGATAGGCATCAAGCTGACACAGGTATGTAGTAGGGTGTCCTGTATGATAGGCAGGAAGCTGACACAGGTATGTAGTAGGGTGTCCTGTATGATAGGCAGGAAGCTGACACAGGTATGTAGTAGGGTGTCCTGTATGATAGGCATCAAGCTGACACAGGTATGTAGTAGGGTGTCCTGTATGATAGGCATCAAGCTGACACAGGTATGTAGTAGGGTGTCCTGTATGATAGGCATCAAGCTGACACAGGTATGTAGTAGGGTGTCCTGTATGATAGGCAGGAAGCTGACACAGGTATGTAGTAGGGTGTCCTGTATGATAGGCAGGAAGCTGACACAGGTATGTAGTAGGGTGTCCTGTATGATAGGCATCAAGCTGACACAGGTATGTAGTAGGGTGTCCTGTATGATAGGCATCAAGCTGACACAGGTATGTAGTAGGGTGTCCTGTATGATAGGCATGAAGCTGACACAGGTATGTAGTAGGGTGTCCTGTATGATAGGCATCAAGCTGACACAGGTATGTAGTAGGGTGTCCTGTATGATGGACATCAGGCTGACACAGGTATGTAGTAGGGTGTCCTGTATGATAGGCATCAAGCTGACACAGGTATGTAGTAGGGTGTCCTGTATGATAGGCATCAGGCTGACACAGGTATGTAGTAGGGTGTTCTGTATGATAGGCATCAAGCTGACACAGGTATGTAGTAGGGTGTCCTGTATGATAGGCATCAGGCTGACACAGGTATGTAGTAGGGTGTCCTGTATGATAGGCATCAAGCTGACACAGGTATGTAGTAGGGTGTCCTGTATGATAGGCATCAAGCTGACACAGGTATGTAGTAGGGTGTCCTGTATGATAGGCATCAAGCTGACACAGGTATGTAGTAGGGTGTCCTGTATGATGGACATGAAGCTGACACAGGTATGTAGTAGGGTGTCCTGTATGATAGGCATCAAGCTGACACAGGTATGTAGTAGGGTGTCCTGTATGATAGGCAGGAAGCTGACACAGGTATGTAGTAGGGTGTCCTGTATGATAGGCATCAAGCTGACACAGGTATGTAGTAGGGTGTCCTGTATGATAGGCATCAAGCTGACACAGGTATGTAGTAGGGTGTCCTGTATGATAGGCAGGAAGCTGACACAGGTATGTAGTAGGGTGTCCTGTATGATAGGTACGTAGTAGGGTGTCCTGTGTGATGGGCATCAATCTGAGACAGGTATGTAGTAGGGTGTTCTGTAGGATTGGCGTCAAGGCCACACAGGTCCTTGTAGTGTTTCGCTACTGTCCAGTCATGCTAGTGGTGATACACTAATGTCCAGTATTGATGCATGTCTGTTTTTCCCGCCAGGTCTCGGACTCTGTAGCAGGCCAGACTGTTGTTGACCCAAAAGGCTACCTGACTGACCTTCAATCCATGTTGCCCTCTCATGGAGGAGACATCAAGTACGTCCCTTACGCTTGACCCATACACATTCTACCTGACATGCAACATTTAGTGAGTTGTTTCCCAGACTAGGGAAGTAAACTTGGATAAAACATTGACAAGCCACACCAGAATCTATCCATGTCAACATCATGTGTGAAACTAAGCCATGTTTTGTATGCTTCAGTGATGTGAAGAAAGCCAGACTGCTGCTGAAGTCAGTGAGAGAAACCAACCCCAAACACCCCCCAGGTGAGGAGGACTGTGCAACCAGCACACCTGGCCATGTGCTGCACCTTCTTTCAACACCTCATAATAATTCAACATTTTATATAAAATAAAACCTATATTCTAAATCGTGTGAGGGCGCCAGTGGAGACTAAGTCCCAAGAGCTGGCTGACATTGGGTTGGAGTGATTGCCCTGTGTCACCATCTTCCCAAGGCAAGCGTGTCCACTAGCCTATATCAAAGCCTAGTTTCTACGCTAGCCACATGAAGGCCACTTTTCTTGGCTCGACCATGTCAACACCTCGCGTAGATCACGGGTTGTGCCCCTTGTAATGAAAACGTGATATCCAATCCTATGGCTGTTCTGATCTTGTATAGCTTCACAAAGATGGCAACTACCATAGGTGACGACCTAGTCGCTCAGATAATGAAAACATTCATGATTTCATGCCTGACAAAAAATCATAGGCAGTCGTTGGGGGGTTTAAAAGATAAAAAAGACGCATTCATGTCAACAAAGACAGGCAGCAGTAAGTCTCTTTCATACGAAGATGTACCAGCCGTGGATGTTGATTTTGTGAAACATTCTCTGATTGGACTATTGATATGTGTGATAGTCGAATCATATTTAGCACAGGCAAGTGGGCTTGATGTGGCAAGGGTGGAAGGACTTCGATAAAAAGGTTTGTGGATGCTCTTGCCTCAGGAATATGGTGCCTGTCACCGTCCCAGGTTTGCCATGATCTCATCATGTGCATGTTGATCTGGAATAGCTGTGATGTTGCATCAAATAGCCTTCAAGTGAGTCGCTGTTTATGTTCTGAATCATGCACGTAGTTACACATGGTTGTCATGTACATGATGTAAAGCAGTGATTAGGTGGGGCACGGGTGGCCCAGTCGTCTAAGGCGTTGCGATTCGCTGTGAAGAATTGCGTCCCTCACAAACCTATGATTGTGGGTTCGAATTCTGGTTCACCCTGTTTACGTTTCTAGGTTTGTCAGCACCATACCCGTGCTCGTGGGTTTCATCGAAGTGGTAAACATCTGAGACCTGCATCACCTCAGGCTTTCCTCCCACATTAAGCTGAAACGCTGTGATATAACTGGCATACTGTTAAAAGCCGCGTTAAACCCAACTCACTCACTCATTGATTAGGATCAGCCCCATATATGTGCTTTTGGGTTTCACCACTGTGTTATAGTTGAAATCACGTCAAGTGAGTATTGGTGTGACTGTTTCAGCATGGATTGCGTCGGCTCGTCTGGAGGAGGTGACTGGCAAAGTGCAGGCAGCTAGGAACCTCATCATGAAGGGATGTGAGGAGTGTCCCAAGAGTGAAGACGCCTGGCTGGAGGCTGCCAGACTCATGGTGAGATTGCTTCCTGTGTCTTATAACAGTTGTAACTTTTATTCAAATGCTTTGTTTGACAGAATTATTTGCTTCTTGCATATTTGCATATTGATAAAGATCCGCGAAAGACTCGGCTATGTCCTGTTCTGCCTGTACTAACCTCTGTCTCTCCTTGTCAGCCCGGGGACCAGGCCAAGGCTGTGGTGGCACAGGCCGTCCGACATCTCCCCAGCTCAGTCAGGGTGTGGATCAAGGCTGCTGACTTGGAGCTAGAGCTGAAGGCAAGGAAGAGAGTGTTCAGAAAGGGTAAGAACAATATCCAGATCGTAGTCACAGATGAATAACAAGCATGCCAAGGAAATCATATCTATTCATATGAATATTCATATTGTTGTTTCCAATCACTTGAATCTGGTTACCTGTGTCATGTGTATGTATACCTGTGCATCTGTTTGTGGGGAAAAGCAGGATATTTCAGTTTTCAAAGCTGCAACACATCTTTAGCATGTGTCATGATTGGGGAAAATGTCTCATTGTGGTGGACCCAGTTATCTCAACACTCAACCACCCCCATCAGCAGAATAGGTCCTTGTTGCATCATATTCATAAGATCCTGGGATGCCTTATAGTGTATAGGGTTGAGTGTCTGCTTGGAGAGTGGAAGGTTGGTGGTTAGAAGATGGTACTTGTTGTTACCCTGTCTGGCGCTCGGCATTAAGGGGCTAAAATAAGGACTGGCCGGCTCGGAGTTAGTATACGGAGTCTGTGAATGGGGTTCCCATGTTAAACTGTGGCATGGTATCTCAGGGCTAGCTTTATAAAACTGACATGAGACCAGGCTAGTATAAGCAGCCATACACATACACATGCTTGCAGATCCCCAACTAAGTGCAATAATCTTGGACGCGACGTTAAACCCCAGTTTACCTCACTTCACCATTAGAGCCTGGTAAATACCCATGCCAAGTATTAAGAGGTTACAATGTGTGACCTGGCTGAGAGTGTTGATGTATCCTATTCATGTAGATAGTTGCTTATACCATCAAACATGTTTGCCTGGCTCTGACTACGTACCTGCAGCAGACCAGGCTTAGTGGAATCCATAGAAATTCTCAAAAATGGTCGGTTTTCATTTGCTCATAACTTTCTTATTTATGGATTTATAAAAAAAATATATATACTACAATAATGATTGTCCTTTTTCCTCTCCATGTGGTGTGTGTTATTTGTTCATTGAGAAAGAAATGTATATCTGATATTAATTGGCTTTGCACTTATTAAGCTCATTAATTAGTGCCATGGGACACTAGCCTCAAGACATTTACACCAATTCACTCTCGCGCAGTTTACACAGGCAACACAAAAATAAACTAAAAATAAACTAAAAATAGTAACGTAATGTAGAGTTTGTACTTTATTTTAGTACCAAATTCCTTTTGTAACAGTAAATTGTATTTAAAATAATTACTTGACTTTAAATCATAACAGCATAAAAAGTATTTAATAAAACATTGTAAGGTCTGATATCAATAAATTTTTCTTTTAATTACCTTTCCAACAAGTATACAAAACTAAAGCTAGCTTATCTGCCGATCAAAACAAACTAAGTAGACACGACCGTGTTTTGAAACGAAATCCACGACCCACCATTTCATGCACACCAACATGTCCAGCGAGAACCACTAACACACTTGCTTGAGTAGTATGACAGGCATGTAGGATCTAAGTATTCCCCATGAGGATTCTGTGTAAGAATTGGTCGCAGGAACATGAGGGGTAATTGGTTGGTCAGACTCAGTGATTTGGTTGTTTGCATGTCATAGTACCCCTGTCGATCGTTGCACATGATATCAATCACTGAATTGTCTGATGTAGACTTGATTATTTACAGGCTCATATAGTTGGAATATTTGCCTATTGTGGATTTAGACAACAAGCACACACACTCTATCACAATGTGTATTATTGGGTCGGTCGGGGAGCCTAGTGGTTAAAGTGTCCGCTCGTCACGCAGTAGAACCGGGTTCGATTCCCAACAAGGGTACAATGTGTGATGCCCATTTCTGGTGCCCCCTTCGTTATATTGCTGGAATATTGCTAAAAGCATCGTAAAACCAGACTCTCTCTCTCTCTCTCTCTCTCTCACTCACTCACTCACAATGTTACATGTGTTGCAGCGCTGGAGCACATCCCCAACTCGGTGCGTCTGTGGAAGCTGGCCGTGGAGCAGGAAGGGGAGGAGGATGCTAGGATCATGCTGAGTCGAGCTGTGGAGTGCTGCCCCACCAGTGTGGAGGTAAAGTACTCTCTGTTGGCTACATCAGGCTTTTATTTCTTGATTATTGCTTGACAAACTATGTCAGGATCTGAGAAGATTAAACAATGACAGTATGTCATTTCATTTCTAAAAGGGTAGCCTAGTTGTTAACCAATTCACTCGTCACGTCTATGGTCATGTTCAATAAGATACATTGTGTGAAGCCCATTTCTGGTGTCCTCCATGGTGATAAAAACTGATATTCCTGGAATACTCCAAACTGTATAGTCATACTCTTACACTGTAGTATACGATGGATGAAGACTGAAAAACAGCAATGTTAGTAATTGAGTGAAAATATATGAGAATGTCTTGCATGTTGTATATTTTGAACTGTGTTTTTAGATCAGTGTGTAGGAAAGTGGTATAAGATTCTTCCTGATTTTGACCCTTGGTCATATCTGTCAATATCAGGCTATGCCAATGGGATTTTCCAGTTTTGTTTTCCTTCATCGTGAATATAATCCACTTTTGTATAACCTTGCATAATTCACTGACATAAAACTTCCTGACATGACTCACGAGACCTTGACCTTGTCACAGCTATGGCTGGCGTTGGCGAGACTGGAGACGTATGAGAACGCCAGGAAGGTGTTGAACAAGGCTCGCGAGAACATCCCGACTGACCGTCAGATCTGGGTCACTGCTGCCAAGCTTGAGGAAGCCCATGGCAACAACCACATGGTGGAGAAGATTGTGGAGAGAGGTGAGTCAGCTGCAGTCTCAGCACCATCGTCCCGCGGCAAGAGAGTTAACTGACTTTAAAAGTCCAGTTTCCACCCTTGCCAAACTAGGCTGGAATTCCTGGGCTTGATCGTAGCACCACCAATGGCTGTTATGAGTTATGTCCCTTCTATGCCTCTCTTATGGACCAATCAGATTCCAACTCTCGTATCACTTGCATTTGTTTCAAACAGAATGGCGGCGCTCTTATCGACAATCAATATCTATATTGTGATAAAACGGGTCTTACATAGCAAGGTTCATCAAGTCATGAAAGCATCTTGATTGAAAACATGAAAAAATTTGGAAAATATCAGTTGACAAATAGTTAGCGGTACACATGCTTTGCAAATCCTGCAATCGACCAAACTCTGCATGACTATGCATAGACTCGTTAGTCCAGCCAAGATGTTACTCCATAATACCAACCTAGTTCGGCAAGGGTGAAAACTGGACTTTTATAGTCAGTTAACCCTCTTGCCTCGGGAAGATGTCTCATTACATTCACATGATGGAGAGAGTTGAGTCACTGTTGGTAATGAGTGTTTCATGTCCTAAATGGTTAATTAGAGTGACCAGTTTAGATTTAAGACTATATGACTATACATCCTATATACAGCAATAAATCAGTGTTTCTTAGACATTCATTACGCTGAGCATCCGTTCCTATTATCCCCTTAACTTGAGATGCACCTGACGCCCATTCTGAAATATGTCTGTCTCATCTGAACAAGCTGTTTGTTTCCTCGTCAGCTCTCAACTCCCTGCGCTCCAACATGGTGGAGATCAACCGAGAGCACTGGCTGAAGGATGCGGAGGACTGCGAGAAGAGCGGCAGCATCAACACCTGCCAGGCCATCGTGTGAGTCACCATCACTCAAGACAATCCTCGTCAATACTTCATGTGTTGTATCCTCATCACTACCTCCTATGTTGTATCCTCGTCAATACTTCATGTGTTGTATCCTCATCACTACCTCCTATGTTGTATCCTCGTCACTACTTCATGTGTTGTATCCTCATCACTACCTCCTATGTTGTATCCTCGTCAATACTTCATGTGTTGTATCCTCGTCAATACTTCATGTGTTGTATCCTCATCACTACCTCCTATGTTGTATCCTCGTCACTACTTCATGTGTTGTATCCTCGTCAATACTTCATGTGTTGTATCCTCGTCAATACTTCATGTGTTGTATCCTCGTCAATACTTCATGTGTTGTATCCTCGTCAATACTTCATGTGTTGTATCCTCGTCAATACTTCATGTGTTGTATCCTCGTCAATACTTCATGTGTTGTATCCTCGTCAATACTTCATGTGTTGTATCCTCGTCAATACTTCATGTGTTGTATCCTCTACAATACTTCATGTGTTGTATCCTCGTCAATACTTCATGTGTTGTATCCTCGTCAATACTTCATGTGTTGTATCCTCGTCAATACTTCATGTGTTGTATCCTCGTCAATACTTCATGTGTTGTATCCTCGTCAATACTTCATGTGTTGTATCCTCGTCACTACTTCATGTGTTGTATCCTCGTCAATACTTCATGTGATGTATCCTCGTCACTACTTCATGTGTTGTATCCTCGTCACTACTTCATGTGTTGTATCCTCATCAATACTTCATGTGTTGTATCCTCATCAATACTTCATGTGTTGTATCCTCGTCAATACTTCATGTGTTGTATCCTCGTCAATACTTCATGTGTTGTATCCTCGTCAATACTTCATGTGTTGTATCCTCGTCACTACTTCATGTGTTGTATCCTCGTCAATACTTCATGTGTTGTATCCTCGTCAATACTTCATGTGTTGTATCCTCATCAATACTTCATGTGTTCATCCTCGTCACTACTTCATGTGTTGTATCCTCGTCACTACTTCATGTGTTGTATCCTCGTCAATACTTCATGTGTTGTATCCTCGTCACTACTTCATGTGTTGTATCCTCGTCACTACTTCATGTGTTGTATCCTCGTCAATACTTCATGTGTTGTATCCTCGTCAATACTTCATGTGTTGTATCCTCGTCAATACTTCATGTGTTGTATCCTCGTCAATAATTCATGTGTTGTATCCTCGTCAATACTTTATGTGTTGTATCCTCGTCAATACTTCATGTGTTGTATCCTCGTCACTACTTCATGTGTTGTATCCTCGTCAATACTTCATGTGTTGTATCCTCGTCAATACTTCATGTGTTGTATCCTCGTCATTACTTCATGTGTTGTATCCTCGTCAATACTTCATGTGTTGTATCCTCGTCAATACTTCATGTGTTGTATCCTCGTCAATACTTCATGTGTTGTATCCTCGTCAATACTTTATGTGTTGTATCCTCGTCAATACTTCATGTGTTGTATCCTCGTCAATACTTCATGTGTTGTATCCTCGTCAATACTTCATGTGTTTTATCCTCGTCAATACTTCATGTGTTGTATCCTCGTCAATACTTCATGTGTTGTATCCTCGTCAATACTTTATGTGTTGTATCCTCGTCAATACTTCATGTGTTGTATCCTCGTCACTACTTCATGTGTTGTATCCTCGTCATTACTTCATGTGTTGTATCCTCGTCAATACTTCATGTGTTGTATCCTCGTCAATACTTCATGTGTTGTATCCTCGTCAATACTTCATGTGTTGTATCCTCGTCAATACTTTATGTGTTGTATCCTCGTCAATACTTCATGTGTTGTATCCTCGTCACTACTTCATGTGTTGTATCCTCGTCAATACTTCATGTGTTGTATCCTCGTCAATACTTCATGTGTTGTATCCTCGTCATTACTTCATGTTTTGTATCCTCGTCAATACTTCATGTGTTGTATCCTCGTCAATACTTCATGTGTTGTATCCTCGTCAATACTTCATGTGTTGTATCCTCGTCATTACTTCATGTGTTCTATCCTCGTCACTACTTCATGTGTTGTATCCTCGTCATTACTTCATGTGTTGTATCCTCGTCAATACTTCATGTGTTGTATCCTCGTCAATACTTCATGTGTTGTATCCTCATCAATACTTCATGTGTTGTATCCTCGTTAATACTTCATGTGTTGTATCCTCGTCAATACTTCATGTGTTATATAAACAACATTCCTCCTTCGACCATGAATACATATGGCAGAGAGGCAGTGTAATAGTGACATGTGCCTGTTTTAAGCCAAGCAATATCATGAGACATGTATAACACATGGAAGTCAAATAAGCCCTACTTGTTGCATGAGTTCAGTGCAAACCCAACTGTTACCTGATACTGAAGCAATGTAGAGAGTGGATGCAGGGTTAGAAACTAACAGTTTTTGTCCACTAGTCCTTATAATGATAACATAGAGCAAAACACCTAAAATGGGCCAATTTCTACTAGTCCTTAGGATACCTTTACTATTGGGCAGTTTGGTAAGGACTACAGGACTAGTGCCAATTTCTAACGCTGGTGGATGGCTGCAAGGCTATTGCACATGTTGCAAGAAATATTGCTGTTTGTGTAATATCATCTCAGAGCTCCTTGGTCGTGTACTTCCTGGTTTTCCGCTCACTGGAACCATGCCGTGGCATGACTTGTTATAACTACCGACTACACTGCAAAGTGGTCCTTTACACTCAGACGTGATGGAGGAATGTATATATTAACCCTTGAAGTATTGACAGGGCAGAAGAATCACCCCTTTGGTACCCTAGGCCAGAATAGGTCCCCAGTGCCCCATGTTTGTTGTAGGAGCTGACTCGAGTTTGCGTAACATGGCAGCAATGTTTAGCCTGGTCGATGCTGTTAGTGGTTCTATTAATTAATGTTTTTTAGGAGTTTAACCTACACTGTATCACTGTGGAGATTTTGAACCTAGCTCGTATACCTGTGAGTTCAATTGGAACTTAATGCATTAGCATGAGGTTTCAACTTGTAGTGTGTACCCCCATTTAGTTGTTATTTGTTGGGGTCATCTAAATGTATTGCCACACTTGCTCTGAATAATCTAGCATCAACCATGCAATATTTCACAGTGTTTTATTTTAGTACAGGCGGGGGTGGTGATGCAGCCATCAATAAAATTCTGTAGCTAAGATTCACTACTGCAGGCAGACCAGTGAGAATGTAGGATTCTAAACTACGTAAACTGTTATGGAGAATGTCAGTTCAATTGTAAACTTACTTGTCTTGGCTAAGCAACTTACCAGGATATTATTTGGTTGTGTATGTCTTTAAAATGTCCAGACTAACAATTCAAAACAATTTAAAGCTGATATTGCTATAATAGTCATGAAGGAAATTACTGTAGCTGATTTATTTATGAAAAAGCTTCATGACTTACCAATTCCCAATATTGTGTGTATGTTATCATATTGTCTGTGTAGTTATTGGTTACTATGGTAACTGTACATTGCAGGCGGTCTGTGATCAGTGTTGATGGTTATATTATCCTAATGTCTGCATAGTTTTTTATGTAACCATGGTAACTGTATTGCAGGCAGTCTGTGATCAGTGTTGGTAGTTATATTATCCTAATGTCCGCATAGTTTTTTATGTAACCATGGTAACTGTTTTGCAGGCGGTCTGTGATCAGTGTTGGGATTGAAGAGGAAGACCGGAAACACACGTGGATGGAGGATGCAGATGCTGTAAGTCCACTAAAGCAGCCCTGTATTGTTCTAGGAGACTTCTATCATAGATCTACAATAATTTTAGAGGTTAAGTTGTGGCAACTGAGTCCTGTCTGAATCATTGATGAAGATAGTAATGACGTTGTGCTGAGATGACCTTGGTGCATCTGTTGCAGTGTGCTGCTCATGCAGCCTATGAGTGTGCGCGGGCAATCTACGCCTACGCCCTGACCGTGTTCCCCAGCAAGAAGAGCATCTGGCTGCGTGCTGCCTACTTTGAGAAGAACCATGGAAGCAGGTAGGCTGTTGCTATATTAGCTCCCTGTTGGTACTAGTATACATGTTGTGACCTGTGTTTCCAGGAAGTTCCCAGAACTGTTGCTATATTAGCTCCCTGTTGGTACTGGTGCTGGTGTACATGTTGTTACCTGTGTTTCCAGGGAGTCGCTGGAGGCACTGCTGCAGAGAGCTGTGGCCCACTGTCCTAAAGCTGAGGTTCTGTGGCTCATGGGAGCCAAGTCCAAGTGGATGGCGGTATGTTTATATCACCCCTTGTTTATATCACCCCTTGTTTATATCTCCCCTTGTTTATATCACACCTTGTTTATATCACCCCTTGTTTATATATCCCCTTGTTTATATCACCCCTTGTTTATATCTCCCCTTGTTTATATCTCCCCTTGTTTATATCACCCCTTGTTTATATCTCCCCTTGTTTATATCACTCCTTGTTTATATCACCCCTTGTTTATATCTCCCCTTGTTTATCATGTTTATATCACCCCTTGTTTATATCACTCCTTGTTTATATCACTCCTTGTTTATATCACCCCTTGTTTATATCTCCCCTTGTTTATATCTCCCCTTGTTTATATATCTCCCCTTGTGCATGGAGGAGGGGCACAACAACCACCTACATATACTTACAACTACTTACAATCATCTACAACTACTTACAATCATATACAACCACTGACAACAACTATCAACCACCTAAAAACCACTGACAATCATCTGCAGCCACTCACAACCACTCAACCATCTACAACCACTGACAATGACCATCAAACACAACCATGTTGTCAAACATGGAAAACAAATGACTCAATATTTGAACGTCATAGAGAACATCTTTGTTCACAAGATAATAGACCCATAAAGGTCCGGGATAGAATAGGTCTTCAGCAACCCTTGCATGTCATAAAAGGCGACTATGCTTGTCGTAAGAGGTGACTAACGAGATTGGGTGGTCAGGCTGGCTAGGCTGGCTGACTTGGTTGATGCATGTCATCATATCCCAATTGCGTGGATCTATGCTCCTGATTTCAATCACTGGATTGTTTGGTCCAGACTCGATTATTTACAGACCGCCGTCATATAGCTGCAGTTTTGCTGAGTGTAGCGTTTAACAACAAACAAACAAACAAACAAGATAACAAATGTACTGTACAATGTGTGCAAGCTAACCTGACTATCTGTGTGGTAGCATGATGTCCCAGCAGCCCGGAGCATCCTGGCCCTGGCTTTCCAGGCCAACCCCAACAGCGAGGAGATCTGGCTCGCCGCCGTCAAGCTGGAGAGTGAGAACAACGAGTACGAGAGAGCCCGCCGACTGCTGCAGAAAGCCAGAGCCAGCGCCCCAACAGCCAGGGTATGTCTGTTGTAGGCCCACATTGATGTACAGGAAACTTAGAGACATTTATTTAGAGGACTTCATCCCCTACATATTGTCAGATGCATCTACAGTCCAAGAAACTGAAAATAGTTTATGTTGACTATTTGGAAACTTATTATTTTCTATTTTAAATTCTGAAAGGAAGACTTCTAGATTACTTTGTGAAAGATGCACTAATATATATGGGCATGGTCGGAAAAACAGATCTTAAATTCATACCTTTATTAGAGAACATGACATTTATGATACGGAAACACTCTTAGCTAATAGGTTTAATCTACAATGTAATTCTCCAACCTGCAGGTGTTCATGAAGTCAGTGAAGCTGGAGTGGTGTCTGGGGGAGATCGAGAACGCCAAACGCCTGCTTGACGATGCCGTGAAACACTACGCCGACTTTGCTAAGGTAAACTCATCCTTCAAATCTGCTAGCAATTTCCCTGCTTCATCATGTTTTTAAGCCAATCTTTGCAGAGTTGCATCCCTTGGGCATGCCAGAATTCTATGATCATGGATTCCAATCCCAGATTCATCCTGATTATGTTTCTAGGTTTGACAGCACCATGCCCTTTGTCATGGGTTTCACCAAAGTGGCAAACGTCTAAGACCTGCGTCAGTGGCTTTCATCCCACATAAAGCTGACACGTCATGACATAACTGAAATATTGTTCAAAATGGCATTAAAGCGAACTTAATCTGGTCACAAATTCCAACTCACTCAGTTTTCAACCAATCAGTTTGAGAACACTAACGTTGATTTTACAGTTTGGAATATTGTTGACATGTTGTTTTACCTGTTGTTTTACGTGTTGTTTTATCTGATGTTGTTTCTATTGTCAGTTGTGTATGATGAAGGGGCAGATTGAGGAGCACCGGGGAAACATGGAGAGTGCTCGGGACGCCTACAACCTCGGGGTGAGTAGCAGGAGTGTAGTGGCAGGCTGGTTGTAGACATGTTAACTCATTGCGCTTGTTTCAATGTGAGAAGAATTGATAAGAGTTAATGGAGTAAAAACTTATGAAGTATGATGTTATTCTGAATGGACAGGTGGCGGTGGGGTAGCCTTGTGTATAAAACGTTTACTTGTCACGCCGAAGGCCAGGGTTCAATTCCCCACAAGGGTACAATGTGTGAAGTCCATAATGCCTTTGAATACCTTACCTCTATTACATCATAGCTGTTTTCCTTTTTTTTTTTTGTCATCACACCATAAAATCTTTTAGATTTTTAACAGACTTCCTCTTCACTGCCAACTTATCTAATTACTTGTGAGGTAAACACTATCCTCAGGCTTAATGCAACTGTGCATGTATAAGACAGGAAAACGTTGCTTCTTACCTTTTTGGAAGCACCATACAAACTTTTGGCAGATGCTACTTTATTTGTAGCTTAAAAAGACAGCTTTCTCCTAACTGTGGCTACATGCTGTTGCTAGTTCCTCAATTATGCAAGACTGGAGGAACAACATCCTTCAGATCCCTACCTGAATGTACTGCCAAAGATCAGTCTCATGCATAGTCAATATACAATCCCAGCTTTGAGCAAAACTGGATTATCCAGAGAGGCTGCGACCCGTGAAGATTCCGGGGTAGAATAGGTCTTCAGCAACCCATGCTTGCCGTAAAAGGTGACTATGCTTGTCGTAAAAGGCGACTAACGGGATCGGGTGGTCAGACTCGCTGACTTGGTTCATGCATGTCATCGATCCCAATTGTGTGGATCGATGGTCATGATATTAATCACTGGATTGTCTGGTCCAGACTCGATTATTTACAGACCACCGTCATATAGCTGGAATATTGCTGAGTGCGGCGTTAAACAACAAACCCAACCAACCAACCAGAGAGGCTGCTGTGTCCCATCAGAGCTCTGGTGTATTACATGACAGCAACTAAAAACCACAGAAAGCACAGAAACAGCTCTTCTTCTCTTGTAAGCCATCATCAAAAAAGGACATAAATGTGGCTGCTGTCGCAGGATAGATCAAAACCTCTATGTCAGACATCTGTCCTCGAGCACAACTATCTTCACCAACATGAGGGAAGTTGCAAAGCACATAAAAATAGGGCCTTAGCAACAGGCTTGGAAAGCAGTATTCATGGTACAAGGGGGTTTTAGCTGTCAGTGGAAATCCAACAATACTTATGTTCAACCACGCAAGTGATAGGTAACTAGTGAACCGGCCATCCTTTTTCTGAAGTGAAATGGGGTTTGTGAATATTCCAGATCATACAGAAATTATAAGATAAGTTCACCTTTGGCACCTTGTTAACTAAGCTCGGCAGGTCTCAGCTTAACATCTGAAATCAGAGATCAAAAGGGGATATGGGCCTTAACATATTAAGCGTAATGTTGTTCAAGCTACCAAAAGCAACATCACAGGAGACCCCTATCCGGAAGTGACATCAGAAGATCTCAAATATCTCCAAAATGAAACTTGATGACATCAGGAGGAAGTGATGACATCACATCAGTAGGAAGTGACGACATCACTGGGGAGTGATGACATCAGTGGGAAGGGGATGACATCAGTGGGAAGTGATGACATCACATCAGTAGGAAGTGACGACATCAGTGGGAAGTGATGACATCACATCAGTAGGAAGTGACGACATCACTAGGAAGTGATGACATTAGTGGGAAGTGATGACATCAGTGGGAAGGTATGACATCAGTGGGAAGGGATGACATCACATCAGTAGGAAGTGACGACATCAGTGGGAAGGGGATGACATCAGTAGGAAGTGATGACATCACATCAGTAGGAAGTGACGACATCACATCAGTGGGAAGTGATGACATCAGTAGGAATTGATGACACCAGTGGGAAGTGATGACATCAGTGGGAAGTGATTACATCACATCAGTAGGAAGTGATGACATCAGTGGGAAGTGATGACATCAGTAGGAATTTATGACATCAGTGGGAAGTGATTACATCACATCAGTAGGAAGTGATGACATCAGTAGGAAGTGATGACATCAGTGGGAAGGGGATGACATCAGTGGGAAGTGATGACATCAGTGGGAATTGATGACATCAGTGGGAATTGATGACATCAGTAGGAATTGATGATATCAGTAGGATGTGATGACAGTAGGAAGTGATGACATCGGTGGGAAGTGATGACACCATTGGGAATTTGTGACATCAGTGGGAAGTGATTACATCACATCAGTAGGACGCAATGACATCAGTGGGAAGTGATGACATCAGTAGGAATTGATGACATCAGTGGGAAGTGATGACATCAGTGGGAAGTGATGACATCAGTGGGAATTGGTGACATCAGTGGGAAGTGATGACATCAGTGGGAAGTGATGACATCACATCCGTAGGAAGTGATGACATCAGTAGAAAGTGATGACATCAGTAGGAATTGATGACATCAGTGGGAAGTGATGACATCAGTAGGAATTGATGACATCGGTGGGAAGTGATGACATCAGTTTGAAGTGATGACATCAGTAGGAATTGATGACATCAGTGGGAAGTGATGACATCACATTAGTAGGAAGTGATGACAACAGTAGGAAGTGATGACATCAGTAGGAAGTGATGACATTGGCGGGAAGTGATGACATCAGTAGGAAGTGATGACATCAGTGGGAAGTGATGACATCAGTGGGAAGTGATGACATCAGTGGGAAGTGATGACAGGAATTGATGACATCAGTGGGAAGTGATGACATCAGTGGGAAGTGATGACATCAGTGGGAATTGATTACACCAGTGGGAAGTGATGACATCAGTGGGAAGTGATGACATCAGTAGGAATTGATGACATCAGTGGGAATTGATGACATCAGTAGGAAGTGATGACATCAGTAGGAAGTGATGACAGTAGGAGTTGATGACATCAGTGGGAAGGGATTACATCAGTAGGAATTGATGACATCAGTGGGAAGGGATGACATCCATAGGAAGTGACATCAGCTTTAAATGACCCAAAGTGATGTATGGTTCTATGCTGTTGGAAAGCAACATGTACAATTTACCGGAAGTTATGTTACAAATCACCTCAGAACCGGAAGCAATATGAAGGGTATGTTAAATATCCCACAAAAGGTAACACAATTGACATCACAGAACAGGATGTGACATTTAAAAATGCCCAAAATAGGTTTAGATATAGGAAATCTGAGAAATCAGGCGTCATACTTGTGTTTTTTCCAATATTCCTACTTCACTGCTGCCAACTATGTGTGATAACTAGATGCCGGGCCCAACCTGCCCGTCTGGTGAATACTGGCTATGATGTAATTTAGGTGAGGTATGCAAAGGAATTATCAATCAATTATTTATAGTTATCACTGTGTATAATTTGGGGAAGTGTGCATCTATTATGTTGGGTATTAGGCCCTCACACCTGTCCTATTTATCTTGCACTTACTGACTTAGCATGTTTTGTCAATGAAGGTTGTTGGAAAGAAGTGACGTTTTTCGACCTCGCGCTTGTGCAGTTATATTAAGACTGAGGACAGTTTCCCTCACAACTAATTAAATGATTTGGCATTGGAGAGGAATTCTAATGAAAATCTAAAAGACTTTAGAGTGTGATGATAGCCCCAAAAAGGAATTTATGGCTATGGTGTAATTGAAATATTCTCAGAACTATACACAATGGTAAGTTTGTTATAATTCTGATGTACCCCGCCATGATCTTGTAGGAATATTGCTAAAAGCAGTGTAAAACCATACTCACTCACTCGCTGAAAGGACGTGTAATTGGATAGAAAGAAAAGATTAGTCAAAGGTAAAAAGGTAGAAAAGGTAGTCAATGAAATATACTGTCGAGATATTTTAATTTCAAAAGCCCAGCTTTTGACATATACAGCTATGTGTTTCACATTGTCACAAACCCTGCTGGCCTTCGTCATGAAGCAATTATCAACATAAGACATGAGGATAATAGTTGTCTGACCTTGTGTTTCAGTTGAAGAAATGTCCACACTCCATCCCACTATGGCTGTTGCTGTCTCGGCTGGAGGAGAAGACGGGGCAGCTGACAAGAGCCCGGTCCATCCTGGAGAAAGCCCGCCTGAAGAACCCCAAGTGTCCGGACCTCTGGTACGTGGTGTAACACTGACTCATAGACATGCACAACAGTGGGACCAACACACTACTTTCAGATAGGTTTGATGTGGAGGGAGTGATGTATATATTCTCATATGAAAGGACTGGGAATGTTCCACAAAGTGGTGTGTAACTCGAATACTTTGGTATTGACTTATAACCGTCCTGACCCTGCTATCAAATTTCTTTGTCAATATTTACTGTATAGTCTTTACTCACAGTGTGTAATCTGGGAGATGATGTCTGTCACCTGGTGTATCACCTGGGAGATGGTGTGTGTCACCTGGGAGATGGTGTGTGTCACCTGGGAGATGGTGTGTGTCACCTGGTGTGTCACCTGGGAGATGGTGTGTATCACCTGGGAGATGGTGTGTATCACCTGGGAGATGGTGTGTGTCACCTGGTGTGTCACCTGGGAGATGGTGTGTGTCACCTGGGAGATGGTGTGTATCACCTTGGAGATGGTGTGTATCACCTGGGAGATGGTGTGTGTCACCTGGGAGATGATGTGTGTCACCTGGGAGATGATGTATGTCACCTGGTGTGTCACCTGGGAGATGGTTTCACCTGGGAGATGGTGTGTGTCACCTGGGAGATGGTGTGTGTCACCTGGTGTGTCACCTGGGAGATGGTGTGTATCACCTGGGAGATGGTGTGTGTCACCTGGGAGATGATGTATGTCACCTGGTGTGTCACCTGGGAGATATTGTGTGTGTCACCTGGGAGATGGTGTATGTCACCTGGGAGATGGTGTGTGTCACCTGGGAGATGGTGTGTGTCACCTGGGAGATATTGTGTGTGTCACCTGGGAGATATTGTGTGTATCACCTGGGAGATATTGTGTGTGTCACCTGGGAGATGGCGTGTGTCACCTGGGAGATGGGGTGTGTCACCTGGGAGATATTGTGTGTGTCACCTGGGAGATGGGGTGTGTCACCTGGGAGATATTGTGTGTGTCACCTGGGAGATGGGGTGTGTCACCTGGGAGATATTGTGTGTATCACCTGGGAGATGGGGTGTGTCACCTGGGAGATGGGGTGTGTCACCTGGGAGATATTGTGTGTCACCTGGGAGATATTGTGTGTGTCACCTGGGAGATGGTGTGTGTCACCTGGGAGATGGTGTGTGTCACCTGGGAGATATTGTGTGTCACCTTGGAGATGGTGTATGTCACCTGGTGTGTCACCTGGGAGATGGTGTGTGTCACCTGGGAGATGGTGTGTGTCACCTGGTGTGTCACCTGGGAGATGGTGTGTGTCACCTGGGAGATGGTGTGTGTCACCTTGGAGATGGTGTGTGTCACCTGGGAGATGGTGTGTGTTACCTGGGAGATGGTGTGTGTCACCTGGGAGATATTGTGTGTCACCTTGGAGATGGTGTATGTCACCTGGTGTGTCACCTGGTGTGTCACCTGGGAGATGGTGTGTGTCACCTGGTTTTTTTAAGTGTTTCATCATACACCAGCATTGTGAATTGTGGTCAAGCTATCAACCAATGGGTTGTCTGGACCATACTTGATTGTTTACAGACCACATTGATAGTACTTACATATTTCTAAATTTAGCATTAAAGTAAGCATTCCCTGACTGTAACACCCTAAAGGCTATGACCTCATGTGACCCCCTGGTCACCCCCAGTGACCCTGTCTGTCTGTCTATCTGTCTGCCAGGTTGGAGGCTGTGCGCGTGGAGATAAGAGGTGGACTGAAGAACATCGGACAAACCTTGATGGCAAAAGGTAAGCATGTACTTCTTGTCTACAGATTGCTTCCTCTTTTCGAAGGGGCGGTGGGGTAGCCTAGTGGTAAAAGCGTTCACTCATCACTCCGAAGACCCGGGTTCATTTCCCAACATTGGTACAATGTGTTAAGCCCATTTCTGGTGTCCCCTGCCGTGACATTGCTGAAATAATGCTAAAACCATACTCACTCACTCCTCTTCTCGAAACAACTACAGGAACATTATTTTCTATTACCTGCTGGTGAACACTAAGATGGCATCTACTGTTCAGGCCATCACAAGTAAAAGTGTGCTCATCCTGTTTCTCTGTCATTTAGCATTGTTTAGGAAGACCGTTTCACGACATGTCTGCCATTCCTGAGGTGTGGAAACTTGTGAAATAAGCTGATAATGACTGTATACATGCTCTACTGCAGCCCTCCAGGAGTGTCCCAACTCATTATAAGCTGATAATGACTGTATACCTGCTCTGCTTCAGCCCTCCAGGAGTGTCCCAACTGTTTATAAGCTGATAATGACTGTATACCTGCTCTGCTTCAGCCCTCCAGGAGTGTCCCAACTCATTATAAGCTGATAATGACTGTACACCTGCTCTGCTTCAGCCCTCCAGGAGTGTCCCAACTCATTATAAGCTGATAATGACTGTATACCTGCTCTGCTTCAGCCCTCCAGGAGTGTCCCAACTCATTATAAGCTGATAATGACTGTATACCTGCTCTGCTTCAGCCCTCCAGGAGTGTCCCAACTCGGGTATCCTGTGGTCGGATGCTATCTTCATGGAGCCACGGCCCCAGAGGAAGACAAAGTCTGTGGATGCGCTCCGCAAGTGTGAGCACGACCCCCATGTTCTTCTAGCTGCATCAAAGTAAGTGGTGGCCCTCACAAACACAGCTCAGGGGATTCCAGGTTAGAGTAGGTCACCTGTAACATATGCTTGTAACAGGCAACTAAGTGGATTCAGTGATAAGGCTCATTGACTCATATTGTGCCCAGACCTTTTGAGACCAATTTAGATCATTCACATAAGCTCAGCTGAAGTGAAATTAATTGTTTTCTCATGTTTTTACATTTTTCCCATACATGTGGATTTTCCTCTGTCAGTGAAAGTCTTAGCTTCATCTTTCAGTCTTTTATGACTCTTCACTTACAAAATAATAATACTCTTGGTTCTCAGGCACCACCGGCATCATCATGAAGTCTACCACACGTTTCGTTTATATTTCCATGTTAAATTTTCTTTTTAAAATCGGTGGTCGGGTAGCCTAGTGGTTAAAGCGTTCGTTTGTCACGCTGAAGACCCGGGTTCGATTCCCGACATGGGTACAATGTGTGAAGCGCATTCCTGGTGCCCCCCGCCGTGATATTGCTGGAATATTGCTAAAAGCGGCGTAAAACCATACTCTCTCACTCATTCTTTTTAAAATCATACTACTTAAAAAGAAAATGCAAAATAATATAGCACACAGTAACTTCCTATTACATGCGCACTACTTTACTGTGCATTTCGTGCTATAGTCATGGCGGCAATAGGAGTTTGTATGCTTGTTTATGTAGGTAGGCCCGTTCCCAGGTTGATGGTACACAACTGTTTATTTGGTTACATACTAGTTTGATCAAGCAAAAAAAAAATACCATTGCCTGCCCGCACTATATTTACAAAAGTCATTGCCTGAGATCCAGTTCCTTTATTGTTTTAAGCCTAAACTAGTATCTGCTCTATATAGCTCTGACTGCAGTATTTCCTCTACTCTTCATGGACTTCAGATAGTCCATGCACTCTGAGCACTTCATGCAGCAGACAGGGTCCTGTCGTCTAAGGCAGTACGAGTTGCATCCCTTGGCTATGCCTGAAATTTATGATTGTGGGTTCAAATCTTTGTTTGACCCGATTATGTTTCTAAGTTTGTCAGCAATGTAACCCTGCTCATGGGTTTCACTAATGTGGTAAACGTCTGAGACCTGCATCACTTCGGGCTTTCCTCCCACATCAAGTTGACACACCCTCATATATAACTGGAATACTGTTCAAAGTGGCATTAAACCCAACTCACTCACTCACTCATGCAGCAGACCATTGCCTCCGGAGACTATCGTGATACAATTAGAAAACTAATGTCAGTACCTGCATGATTAACTTCACAAATTATTTCTTCACGTATATTCATATGTCTTCGGCTAATTATCTTTTAACAACTTTTGAAATATTTCAGGCTGTTCTGGACAGAGCGTAAAATCGGCAAGTCTCGTGACTGGTTTAATCGTACGGTGAAGATTGACCCTGACCTCGGTGATGCCTGGGCATACTTCTTCAAGTTTGAACTCATGCATGGAGATGAGGTGTGAATATTATAGATATTATACATACATATTGCACATATTGCACATATTAACCTAACAGTACTCGCCCTTTACCATCATCCCTATTTCAGAGATCTGTATACTCTTATGTTCCTCCATCACCCGGGAATACACTGGGTTGATATGTCATGTTGTCATGATGCATGTCTACTTTACCATGTTTACAGGGGCGGTCGGGTAGCCTAGTGGTTAAAGCGTTAGCTCGTCACGCCATAGACCCGGGTTCGATTCCCGACATGGGTACAATGTGTGAAGCCCATTTCTGGTGTCCCCCGCCGTGATATTGCTGGAATATTGCTAAAAGCGGCGTAAAACCGTACTCACTCACTCACTCACTCACTACCATGTTTACCCGTGAAGATCCGGGTTAGAATAGGTCTTCAGCAACCCATGCTTACTGTAAAAGGCGACTATGCCTTTCATAAGAGGCGACTAATGGTATCAGTAGGTCAGGCTTGCTGACTTGGTTGATGTATATCATCGTATTCCAGTTTAGTGCGGCATAAAACAACAAACCAAACCTTACCTCACCTCACCTCACCTCACCTCACCTCGACTCACCTTACCTCACCATTATGGAGTGAAGGATGCCAGCAGCTGCACCAGTCTATTTATGTCTCAGCATGGTGATGTTAAACGTTCTTTCTCCTTTCAGCAAAGTCAGGAGGAGGTGGCGAGACGCTGCATCCAGTCCGAGCCCCACCATGGGGAGAAGTGGTGTCAGGTGTCCAAGGACATCAGCAACTGGAGGCTCAAGACAGAAGAGTTACTGCCCCTTGTTGCTAATGCCATACCTCTGCCAACATGAAGCAACAGATATAAGAGTTACCTCCCTTGCTGTATAGGAATGCCTACATCAACGTTTTTACTTACCCACGAACTATTATATTTTGTCCTTTCCTCCAGCAAAAGAGGATATGGAAGAATCAGCAATATGATTAAGTTGTTTTGTGAGATAATTGTGCATTGTTATGAAGAAGAAACAAAATGGCCACTGTTGGCTTGTAATTTTCAATTGTGACACTCAAGATTGCCTTTGCCAAGATTTGTTCCTCGTCTCAGCTGTACAGTATTCAGTACACAGTACTGTCTAATCTCCAGGCTGAAACTAAGCCTTGTATCCTGGTGGCCATGTGTGAGTGTCAGCTGCTATGGTCCTGGGCATCATCACACTGGTGTTATAAAACAGAGCAACATCCATCAAAGGACATGCCATTCGCTTCATCTGTAAATATGCTTAACATTCATCTGTAAATACATGTTTTGATCAACTGAAAATTTAACTTGCCTTGTCAAATATCTATTTTTATTTTTTCACTGTAACTGTTCTAGTTCAGGATGCAAGGTAGGGATGTCTTGTAACATTTGTATTGGTCCTTTTGTGCCCATACACTGTGATCACCAAACGTAACATTTACGATGATCACATCCTTGAGAAAATGTCCTGCCATCTTGCATCTGTCAAGTATGTGTCAACTTGGATGATTTGGACATTCGCAGTATGTTTAACATATACCATCATATTCTGTTAACTGTTGTTTCATTGGTGACTGCAATCCATGTAAATATTCATGTATACAAATGAATAAATTTGTAACAAAATTCAACTGGACTGTTCACTGTCAGCGTCAACTGTGTATTTGTCCAGTTGATGTTTTCAGAATGGGTACATAACCTCCCCATACTTAGCACAGCAGCAAACTATACTACTTAAAGTTTGCTAAGGATCACATTTTGATGATAGCAAAAAATCATCCAACAAATATAGATTGAAATATATCTGTATGCAGTGATTGGGTAGCTCCTGTAGAACCTTAATTTCATGATGAAGGGACAAAGACATACGTGTCATTGGCACCATCTGCTTTTCTGCCCATTTCTTGTGTCCCCCCTGCGTGATATTGCTGGAATATTGCTAAAAGCGGCGTAAAACCATACTCACTCACCATCAACCACTCACTTGATTGCCTTTCTGTGTCTCCTGATACAGCTGGAATATTGCTAAAAATCACTCATGGTGTTAGCTAGATATAGATCTTTGGTCTTACGTTGCTGTTGCTTCATTTTTCAAATACTTTATACTTGCTGGAATTCCTTATGCAGAGTTGAGTGCCTTTGGCGTGCCAGAAACCTGTGATTGTAGGTTCAAACTGATTCGTCCTGATTTTGTCTGCACCATACCCCGCTGGTTGTGGTAAATTTGGGCTTTTCTCCCACATTCAGCTGACACGCTTTGATATAACGGAAATAATGTTCGAAACGGCGTTAAAACCAAACTCACTCACACACTTTTACCTGCTCACCTAGATGTTCACCGAGTTGATATGGGACACGATGTTTGTGGTCCAATACTTCAAGATTAATCGTAGCTTCTTTTATATTTATCTTTGGACACCCACCTCAGTGATTTTGATTGATCGCTGTAACATGTCATCAGATTCCAGAGGGCAGTTGGGTAGCCGAGTGGTTAAAGCGTTCGTCCGTCCCGCCGAAGACCCGGGTTCGATCACTGACATGGGTACAATGGGCGAAGCCCATTTCTGGTGTTCCCCGCCGTGATATTGCTGGAATATTGCTAAAAGCGGCGTAAAACTATACTCACTTACTCAATAAATTCTAGTGTAAAGCGGCGCTAAGACAATAAGAACGCCGATGTTTTGATATGTTCACGTCCGGGGTTTGTGTGATTCTGCTAGATACTTCCAGAGCAAGTTGCTCCAGATGTTTACCCTAGAGCAAATTCACGATTGTTGGGTTTACCGCTATTTTAGATGCAACCAGAAGACCCTAACGACATTGTGGAATCAAGGTCAATCACGCGGCGCCAAGACTATTAAATACGCTGGCCCAGACACGTCGTCCTCTAGGGATGTCTGGTTCAGCTTGATCTCTGGGTACTTCTCTCGGACCGGACAGTTGGACGTTTCATGATAGTGGTCTTTGATTAGATGGGTGCTAGTGGAGACAGGTTATTATTAAGGTTCCGTACCTTATGAAAAGTTGCGCGGAATACGAAAACATTTGTACATAGCGGAGACGCCTTTAAGGAATTATTTTAAATGTTTTCAAGTTGAAGACATGTAACTCTTGGGTTGTAAGCTAAGTAGAAATGTCCATTCTTTCTAACCTGCAAGAAGGCCCTGGCTATCGATGGCACAGTAACCTGTATACAGTTAACATCAACAACTGCTCGCACAATAACGTCAGCTGGGCATTACCAGACGATGATACTTCATGTTACCCTGACAAGCGCTCGGCATTCATGTCATAAACTCCACAGACCGCCTCCGTGGCCTAGTGGTAGAGCGTCCGCCCGGAGAGCGGAAGGTCCGGGGTTCGATCCCCGGCCGCGTCATACCAAAGGACGTTAAAAGATTATATTTGTTGTTACCCTGTCTGGCGCTCGGCATTAAGGTGCTAAAACAAGGACTGGTCGGCTCGGAGTCAGTGGTATCCATGTTATAACTGCGGCATGGTATCTCGGTGAGCGAGTTCTATAAAACCGGTCTTAGTGCAAGCAGCAGCCCCCCCCCCCCCCCCCCCCCCACACACACACACACACACGCGTGCATACATGTCGCTTTGTAAGTGCAATAATCTTGAACGCGACGTTTGCCCTGTCTTTCATATTCACAATGAAGACGTAAGCTCTAAGTTCTTGTTTAACAATTACGTCTATCGTTGGCTATAGCGTACTTAAGTGATCTTGACATATTGACCGAGGCGTTATCATCGAAATAAAATATCTCCGTATTAAGCATGTAGCTCCCAATTTGTTTCAAGCAGATCCACGTCTACTATATTCTCCTGTCTCTCCAAGCATCAATACACTTCGCCATCAAGACAGGCCCGAGTTGACCCTCCACTCCTGATAACATCTGCATCGACTATACATCCTGATACTAACGCAATTAACTGACGCACAACCTAAAACTCCGGTTCTTATCCTTCGTCAGGCACACCCTCCGCCCAATCAAATACACATACATTTTCGTGTATTTAACACTATGGGCGTTGGTTCATTTTACTGTAGTAAGAAACTGCCTCATATCAAATGCTCGTAACTTATACAGCCCACTAAGCTATGACTGCAGTCAGAGCAAAGCCAAAGCCACTTACAACTGAAGACCGGCAAGACCATCCTGTCGTGCAACTTCGTACATGTACTGAAATACATCCACACATAGTCCGTCTAAACTATGTGCTGGCAAACCGATTCCGAATGTAAAAAATTCACATGCCCCAATATCTGATTACAAAATCCAAATTTGTTCTTCACATGAACCGTTCGTTTTATCCGACTTTTTGTGACTCCGTAATCGAATGGCTGTGTCTTAGACTCACACTTAGTCTGAATGAAAATATTTTACAGAAAAAAACATTCTTAAATTATTCTAATAGAATATTATGAAAGGAGCCCAGTGAATTTCTTCATTTTCAAGAAATAAAACTGCAGTAATCTACACTTGCCAAATGTTATACGGGACGAATTGGATATCTTTGTTTCATGGTTGTATGGCAGACAGGATGAGGCTATGAGCGCCCTCAGCTTTCAGTCACCAATAGTCATACTAAGCTAGAAGTGTGAATATTCTGTTATATTATCCCCATCTGTTATATTATCCCCATCTGTTATATTATCCCCATCGGGGTAAAAGGCATAATTTGGTTCTGTGACTGACCCTTAAATGTACCTCATTGGAATTTCTAAGTTAATTGACATGTTGCTCCTATAACACCAGTTATGTAGGACATTTCAAAGTAAACGATCTGCCTCGAGCGCCAGATCATCTGCACATGCCATGGCGGTAATACAACCACACATCGCCCTGACAAAACACCACACGCAGAACCACGCAACAAACACCAGGGAAGCACGGACATCCTTCACGGGCCCCACGGAGAACTGGTAACTCGGGTTAAAGATGCACGAGACCAGCAGGGAGGCAGAGCCGCCATCATGTCGCCCAACGAGGACAGTCAGCACATCATGTGTTATTTATAGACATCTGAAAAAATGAAGCGCCCAAAGTGATGTATCCCTACAAAATGTACTCCCTACAATTTTCTTACAAATTGTATGTTTTATTGATTAGGCGTTTTATACGAAGTGAAATACTCATATTGAGATACAGAAACCCAAATCGTGAATTGATTGTCTAATGACATGTTTGGTTACCCTAAAGACTAACGCATTCATAGAGCTGGAATATTGCTGAATGCGGCGCTAAACAGCAAACAAACTTTAGACTAGCATTTAGTCTATGAATTCTTATAAAACACAATACTCGTCTTGCCTCTAACGGGATCGGTTGGTCAGGCTCGCTGACTTGGTTGATACATGTCATCGATCCCAATTGCGTGGATCGATGCTCATGATATCAATCACTGGATTGTCTGGTCCAGACTTGATTATTAACAGACCGCCGTCATATAGCTGGAATATTGCTGTTGCGTTAACCAACAAACCAACCAACCAAAAATCCTGCCTCTAAGATTAAACAAATACTTTTCCTGATTCTGATTTCATAGAGCTGGCTAGACTTGTTTTTGTATATGTATCTGGATTGTGTTTTTTTGTCATATGTATTCCGCAGTCATGGTGCAGGACCAGTGACTCTTCCATGGCAATATTTATATTCTCGCTTCTTTGCATCCTATGATGCAGTGACCATGCGGCGGTACATACAGTGTTCTTGAGCAGACTCTTCAGCAGGCAGCAGTGCCATATTTATTCTACACATTTATGAAAATGGCCCAGTGTCACTTTGAGATCATTCCGAAAGATACGCGGATGTTCGGGATATATGGAAATACAGGAAGGCGCTAAATATGGTGAATATTTTGATGATTTCATCGACTCTAGTTATGTATATGTTTGACTATATTTCTTATAAATACCCGTGAAGATCTGGGTTAAAAAAGGTCTTCAGCAACCCATGCTCGTGCAAAAAGGCGACGATGCTTGTCGTGAGAGGCGACGAACGGGATCGGGTGGTCAGGCTTGCTGACTTGGTTGATGCATGTCATCGTATCCCAATTCTGTAGATCGATGCTTATGACGTCAATCACTTGATTGTCTGGTCCAGTCTCGTTTATTAACAGACCACAGTCACATAGCTGAAATACTGCTGAGAGTGGCGTGAAACAATAAACAAACTATCTTTCTGATCACCATATGAAACAAAGCACTGCTTGAAACAGATAGTGGTGATGGAATTTAAACCATTCCAAACGATATGCATACTTTCAAGCTTGACCAAAATCCTAGTCCGCAGAAACGACGCTCTTGAACCTAAAGCCACCACACCATATACCCCAGCCCTAAAACCCTTGTTTACATTTCATTTTATTGCTTTCTACAAACACATTTGTCCACATCCCATTATCAGAGCCAACAAAGAGGTTTTCTCTATTACAAATGTAAACAAGACTGGCCGATGCGGGAATACAGCTTCAACAGCATATACAGACACGGCCAGTTGCGAAGAGGGTTCAACATCAACCGCAGATGACCGCGGGATACCGGGGATACTCTATGAGCAGTACGGTTACTGCCAATCACAGCAGGGCACCAGGGGGATACTCTATGAGCAGTACGGATACTGCCAACCACAGCAGGGCACCAGGGGAATACTCTATGAGCAGTACGGATACTGACAATTACAGCAGGGCACCAGGGGGATACTCTATGAGCAGTACAGACACAACCAATCACAGCAGGGCACCAGGGGGATACTCTATGAGCAGTACGGATACTGCCAACCACAGCAGGGCACCAGGGGGATACTCTATGAGCAGTACAGATACAACCAATCACAGCAGGGCACCAGGGGGATACTCTATGAGCAGTACAGATACAACCAATCACAGCAGGGCACCAGGGGGATACTCTATGAGCAGTACAGATACAACCAACCACAGCAGGGCACCAGGGGGATACTCTATGAGCAGTACAGATACAACCAATCACAGCAGGGCACCAGGGGGATACTCTATGAGCAGTACAGTACAACCAATCACAGCAGGGCACCAGGGGGATACTCTATGAGCAGTACGGATACTGCCAACCACAGCAGGGCACCAGGGGGATACTCTATGAGCAGTACAGATACAACCAATCACAACAGGGCACCAGGGGGATACTCTATGAGCAGTACAGATACAACCAATCACAGCAGGGCACCAGGGGGATACTCTATGAGCAGTACGGATACTGACAATCACAGCAGGGCACCAGGGGGATACTCTATGACCAGTACAGTTACTGCCAACCACAGCAGGGCACCAGGGGGATACTCTATGAGCAGTACAGATACAACCAATCACAGCAGGGCACCAGGGGGATACTCTATGAGCAGTACGGATACTGACAATCACAGCAGGGCACCAGGGGGATACTCTGTGACCAGTACAGTTACTGCCAACCACAGCAGGGCACCAGGGGGATACTCTATGAGCAGTACGGATACTGACAATCACAGCAGGGCACCAGGGGGATACTCTATGAGCAGAACAGATACAACCAATCACAGAAGGGCACCAGGGGGATACTCTATGAGCAGTACAGATACAACCAATCACAGCAGGGCACCAGGGGGATACTCTATGAGCAGTACGGATACTGACAATCACAGCAGGGCACCAGGGGGATACTCTATGAGCAGTACAGATACAACCAATAACAGCAGGGTACCTGGGGGATACTCTACGAGCAGTACAGATACAACCAATAACAGAAGGGCACCAGGGGGATACTCTATGAGCAGTACAGATACAACCAATCACAGCAGGGCACCAGGGGGATACTCTATGAGCAGTACAGTTACTGCCAACCACAGCAGGGCACCAGGGGGATACTCTATGAGCAGTACAGATACAACCAATCACAGCAGGGCACCAGGGGGATACTCTATGAGCAGTACGGATACAACCAATCACAGCAGGGCACCAGGGGGATACTCTATGAGCAGTACAGATACAACCAATCACAGCAGGGCACCAGGGGGATACTCTATGAGCAGTACGGATACAACCAATCACAGCAGGGCACCAGGGGGATACTCTATGAGCAGTACGGATACAACTAATCACAGCAGGGCACCAGGGGGATACTCTATGAGCAGTACAGATACAACCAATCACAGCAAGGTACCTGGGGGATACTTTATGAGCAGTACGGATACTGACAATCACAGCAAGGTACCTTGGGGATACTCTATGAGCAGTACGGATACTGCCAACCACAGCAGGGCACCAGGGGGATACTCTATGAGCAGTACGGATACTGACAATCACAGCAGGGCACCAGGGGGATACTCTATGAGCAGTACGGACACTGACAATCACAGCAGGGCACCAGGGGGATACTCTATGAGCAGTACAGATACAACCAATCACAGCAAGGTACCTGGGGGATACTCTATTAGCAGTACAGATACAACCAATCACAACAGGGCACCAGGAGGATAATCTATGAGCAGTACAGATACAACCAATCACAGCAAGGTACCTGGGGGATACTCTATTAGCAGTACAGATACAACCTATCACAGCAGGGCACCAGGGGAATACAGCATGACCATTACAGATGTAACCAATCACAGCAGGGCACCAGTGGAATATAACATGACCATTACAGATATTACCAATCACAGCAGGGCACCAGTGGAATACAACATGACCATTACAGATATAACCAATCACAGCAGGGCACCGATAACCTATCACAGCAGGGCACCAGGGGTGTCCCAAGAGCCGTACAGATACAACCAATCACAGCAGGGCACCAGGGGTGTCCCAAGAGCGTACAGATACAACCAATCACAGCAGGGCACCAGGGGTGTCCCAAGAGCGTACAGATACAACCAATCACAGCAGGGCACCAGGGGTGTCCCAAGAGCCGTACAGATACAACCAATCACAGCCGGGCACCAGGGATGAAACACGAGCAGTACAAATGCAACCAGAAGCAAAGTTAACCAATTATCTCAACCATGACCGAATCTATGATGCATCACTGCACAGCATCTGGCATCGCCTTAAACAACACTGGCAGTTTCACTCTCTCAGGTCAAATCACCGTTACTGAACACTTCACATTGACAACGACATAATTTTAACATAATCATATCAACGATAGGCTTAATAAAAATATTTTCAAACTGTGTATTATAATTTACCGGTCATTTAAAACTAGTAATTTATCCATGGCAGTGAAAGAAATATGGAAATTTTCTATAAGGGGTAGAGGAAATATTTTTAAGGCTTTTCAAAGGCAACAGAATATATATGTCCTTTGTACACGTTTGTACTGTACTGGGCATAGTTCAGCATACTGGGTTATCGTTAAGTAATATTTGTGTTTGAACATTACATCTGTTCTGTTAATGGCACCCCTGTAGAGATGGCGTTGCTGTATTATTCTAATAGATGTAATCAGGCCCGCCACTCAATACGCTTCAATCAATTTACGACCTTCGGAGTAATCCAGGAGTAATTTCAGCTCTGTTATACATCACCAACAAATTTGACTGTTTATACAGATAGCGTGAACTCTGTAAATCGCGTCGAGCCCCGAAAGAGTATATCCGCCTCATGCTTCCAGCTGACCTATCATGTTCATATAGTTATGGCTAATTAGATGTTGATTTACAAAAGCGTGGTTAATTAACGTGTTAATTGTGAAATGCCACAATGTCATGTGGAACTTTGGACCAGCCTTGAAGTCCACTCTCTCCGCAACAATCTGTCGGTGAGTACTTTATTTGATCCTTTTTGTTCGATAATCTACAATTGTAATGAATTCGGTTTTTTATACGTAAAGTCAAGAAAGCCAAGGTTAAATGTTTTCCTTGAACCACATCTATATTACATTCTGCTATGTATCACAAGTTGGCAGGGCTATTTTTCTTTAACAAAAGCATTTACTTCACAAAATGAACGTGTTAAAAATGCTGCTTAACTCCCATCCTCATTTTTTCCTAGTTTTTGACAACAATTGAAACTTTTCATGATACACCATCAGATTGTGGTTACAGACGTTTGCTCTATTGGCGGTGTGCCTCACATTCATATACCATCGAGAATCTTGCATGCGTGAACAACATGTTACTCCAAGTTATTTTTCTTGGATTTCCTCCATAAAAAGAACGTGGTAACTTTTTGTCTTGTTCGTGCCTTAAGAATTTGTTTTTAAACACGAGAAAAAAATTAGCACTACCAACCAGTTAACAGTATGTTATCCAGATCTAATTGATGAGGACATATTTTGGCCGTCTCAATTTTTCAGCGACCAATTTGTGACGATGTTGGAGTGGCAGGCACACTTACATCCTATCCCTGGCACGGTAGATCGTCTCATGGCTCGTTTGTGCTGCTCAGTTTATAGCTTTAAAACAAAATCAACGGTTAAACAATTTTGAAATAAACATTCAGACTCAGATACATCTTGATATAATCCAAAGAGTCCATGACAATAGAGTACTGACCACAACATGTATTTCAGTGGAACACAAGAGGTGATACATTATTGTAATTGCTCTGTCAGCGGTCGACATTCCCGTAGACAAAGAGCACTTAGTGAGATATCTTGTCACTATATATGTAATGATAACGTCAAACATCGGGGATAAATGCGATTGGTGTGGAAAATTACGAGCACTGCTGTTCACCCCGCATAAACAGGAAATACTCATTTGTCAAATAAAGACGGTTCATTCAAACACCATTATCTACTAGAACGTTGCCACAATGGTCTTCTTATGATAGAAATTATGTTATTGTCGTAACGTTTCGCATAAATATATAGTTAAAATATTGTTTGTACCAATAACTATATTAGCTATACAGTATCAAATCTAACAACCATTTTTTATCAACCTTGAATGCATATGAACAAATGATCAAAGAAATACATGCATGCACAAATTGTGTCCAAATATTCCGCCGTTCCTTTAGATATTCAGATAGCGATATAGCCACCTTCCTCCGGGCAGCTGTATAAACGATCCCTATGTGCAGTATGTTGTTTTATAAGATATACAATCTTTTCAAAACAATCGGATCTTTCATGTACACCCCACATCCCCTGTCTGTAGATTAGCACGATAAGAGGGCAGTGGAGAGTGACGCGTGGATGCTGGTCAAGGTAACACATGTACCCCGGGGTTCTATGTCCACCCACACGTGTGCGACTTGAAGGGGGTGAGTTGGTCGGGGTAGGGGCGGGGTTATATTCAACAAACACAATCCATTCCAGTTAGGTCATAAATAAAACAACCAGTTTTGATAAGAAATGCTTAGAAAAGAAAATGACAAATTGCATCGATACACTGACACCTGTTTTCAATGTTTCATTTGTCTGTTTGACAGCTGATACGCTCCATATTACTGTCGTTCTAGAACTGGTCTGGTCTTCATCTGACCACACTGCTCGCTGAGGAAACGGTATTTCTTATCCCTACTAAAGAGAGTTAATCTGTTCGTCCCAAGAGAACGGATCTGTAATGTATTTTTAACAGGAGAGGTCACTGTTCGGAGCTTGACATCCTTGTTATAAACTGATAGAGATTGGAACAGACCCGCAGTGTGCAGACGTGCGAACTCCTCACAGCGTTAGAGGATTTAAAGATAATACAGGAAGCGGCTGACACTTGGGGAAAACTCTTTTGTGACTTAAAGGTGTTTACAGATACTATATGTAATAAGTGCTTATTTTCTTTTCAGCATGGTAACTGCTCCATCGGAACACGCCACATACAGTTTTACATACGGACGTCGCTTCTTCCACTTTAATGAAGATTAATTGACAGCGGATGCACATGTGATTCCGGCAAAGGCAAAGTGAAAGTGTATGTGTTTTCAGTCAAGGAAAAGTTTAATAAGTGATCTAGTTGAGTGGACCATTATCTGGGACAGTTCAACTTTCCATCACTGCTGTAATTAATAATAGTTGAACTCAAAAAAGGATCTGTCTCGCGAAAGAAACACTGTGTCGCAAACTTGAAGATTATTTGTTTCTATTTGAAGTTAATGTTCGAAACATGGAAGGAATGAACAAAAGAATTTCTGATGGACTCAAAAAAGCCACGGAGGAATGTCTAAAGAGCATCAAGCACCTGTACCCCAAGAGTTTCTGCAATGCGTCATTCGATGGCTACATCTGTTGGCCACCTACTTTACCGGGGATGACCATTAGTCGACCTTGCCCTTCCGTGGACGGTTTCACGTCAACTGGTCAAGCCTACAAGAGGTGTAACAGGAACGGCACATGGTATAGTCCACCGGGAAACGAACTCTCGGTCTGGACTAATTACACCACCTGCGTCATGCCCGACGAGCAAGAGGAGACAACTCCTTACATCCCTACCGCGGCTGTACAGGAAGTCAGTATAGATGTCACCGTGCTTACTAACGACCTCCTCTTCTACTTCCTCAACTGCATCGCCGCCCTCGCCCTCATCATCGCCATCATCATATTCGGATGTTGTATCAAGAAATGGTCTCTACGCTATCAGATTCTCATCCCGCTCTTCCTATCAGCTCTGCTGATCTCCCTTGTGTCCTTGACCTTCAACGTGATGCAGTATGTTGACGACCCGACACAAAGCGACCGTAGCTTATCAGAAAACCCAACCTCTTGCATTACAATAACCTATCTTAGAAGATTCTCGGAACTTGCCACCTACTCTTGGTTGATGGTTCTCGGAATAAATTACATGATCTGGCTAAGAAAATGCAACCTCAATAGGGGCCGTCTCCTTCTTTCCTTCTTTTTAGGATTCGGACTTCCGGTAATGCTAGCATCCGCCTGGGTCGTGGCCGTCACCTTCTTCCTTCGTAGCAACCTGGCGTGCGTGCTGTACTATCAGCTAGACACAACCCACTGGATCACAGATGCACCGAAGTTCCTCATCATCGCCATTGCTCTGCTCATGTTCTTCTTGTGTATGTGGTGGGCAACTTGTCGTCCTCTTGTGGCCTATGAGTGTACTGAGATCCGTCTAGTGTTGCAGAGTGTGTGGAAGGTGGTGTTGCTGCTGCTGCTTCTTGCGGCGGCGGAAGTCTACCTTACCCTGTGCGCATATGGTATCGTGGAGTCGGTCTCTATCGCAGAGACCATTGTGAAGGGAATTCGGCCTCTTCTCATCGCTGTAATGCTGTGTTTCCTGGATACGGAGACGTGGTGCTGCTGTTATTACTAGAAGGACTGTCACCGGGGAACATTCACATTGGAGTGCTAATGTGGATTTCCGAAACTGGTTTGACGTTCTTATGTGCATTCAAAAAACAGATCGTATAGAAAACTGTGACTATAAGCCTTCTAGTTTTCAATATGATAAAACCACTTCAACATTCTATCGTAGCCGGATCATATGTAAGTTTTGTTATTAATTATGGTGTGAGAATACATGCTTATTGTGCCCTACATCTATTATGTCCACATACCATTCCCGTGCTCGTGGGTTTTACCAAAGTTGTAAACGCCGAAGACCTGCATCATTTTGGTCGTTCCTCCAACAACTACCTGACACGCCAGGATATAACTGAGATATTATTCAAAGCGGTGTAAAACTCAGTCCTGAATACGTGCTGTCAGGAAATGAACACGTTAGGAAAGCAGATGTTATGGCTGATAATCCATTAATTGAATGTCGGGTTGATTTTTTTTTAAGAACGGCTTCACCCATCGTGTTAATCTGAAGCGTAGGAGATCTCAGGTTAAAAGGAAACTATGATGGTCGGTGTCATGAAAAGTGTACGTTGCAACAACATCGTGGGGAACCGGTCTGTCAGCAATTGTACCTCATAATAACATACCCGGTGCATCATCTATCGTTCATTAGACTACCCGGTGGCTGTACATGTAATTGTAATTGTGGATGGGGGCACTGGAGGTGTGGGAACCTAAATTCACCGCTCCTGTTTCAATATTTGATAGTGATTAACATGGACATGCTTATGATATGGTCGGAATCGTACAGTCGACTCTGGTTTTTAGTAGATATGTCTTGTGATTAGGGAAATGTTTTTTGTTGTTTTTGTTTTCATTATGCAGATTAACTGAGTGTAGGGCCCCACCTCTCACCCATTATCTCCGACACAAGCGCTCACTCTCACAGACACGGTGTAGCCTGTCTCCTCCTGCCAGTTTCAGCTATATTATCGTGACGGGTGGTGTACGTTGGACGGGTCCGATGACAACTTCTTTTATAGAGATGTAATCACGCTGGCTTTTATTAACTACAATGACATCCCCTGTTGGTGCTGCACTGACTGGCTTCACCTGGGCCCACATTGTGTCTTGTATCTGATCACCCATCCAACATGGCACTTACCTCGTCAGTTTTAATAACAACCACTCAAACGGTTGTATCTTTGAAGCAAATGTATTAAAAGTGGAAAGACCTCTGCTTCATTGGTATGTCTGAGCTTATTAAGCCCTTATCAGCTTCTTCTTTTTTCCTTTTAGACTGCAAAATTATAGATTATGATGAAATGCTATAGCTGATAGGGTGAGTGAGTTGGGTTAAAGCCGCTTTGAACAGTACTCCAGTTATATCACGGCGTGTCAGCTTCATGTAGGAGGAAAGCCCGTAGAGATTCAGGTCTCAGACGTTTACCACTTCGGTAAAACCCACGAGCACGGGTTTGGTGCTGACAAACCTAGAAACATGATCTGGGTGAACCGAGATTCGAACCCACAGTCATAGCTCTGCATTGCAAATTGCGGCGCCTTAGACGACTGGGTCACCCATGCCCCCTATATCTCATGAAAAGGTGCTTATTTTTTTTGGTGCTTATTTTGAAAAGAGTTTTTTAGGACATCAACCCTTACAGCATTTATTAATCTTGACAAATTTGCCTCTGCATCATGGACATAATCTGCGGGACATGAAACAAACCTAAACATGTTTAGATAACGTGTTTAGATTCTGAAGGAGAGACCTGTATCTCCCTTTGTCGCATTCATGTCTACATCGTTTGGATTATGTTAAGGTGGTGTTTAGGTTGTGAGACACTAGCTCATTTCATGTGCTTAGACCTAAATATGTCTAGATAGAACACACCAAATGTGTATTCCGTTTAGGATTTAAACATATGTCTGAATATGTTTAGATCTAAACAAAGTTTTTACAGTGTGCATGATTTAAGCACCAGGGCCCCGTTCCACAAAATGATCTTAGTGCTAACATGATCGTAACTCCCATACTTTAACATAGGCTTACAACAATCATAGCACTAAGATAGCTTTGTGGAACAGGCCCCTGAACGGACAGCTCACCCTGCGTAAAGATATTATTCATCCTCTTCCTGCCTCAACCGTATGATAGGATTATAGTGTTATGTACATGTATGTGTTGATGTACATGTATATTGCATTATATCAACTAGGGCAAGCGTAGTACTACACGTGAAAATTGCAATTACACGATGTCCATGATTCTGATTAACTTACCCCTGTGGGGATGCTGGACAGAACAGGTTCCAGGCTTGTCGTAAGAACAATGAGGATAAAGTCATCAGAATGTGGGACCTGGCTGATTGTGTGTGTCATCGTACCCCGACGGTATGGATTGCTGATCTTGTTATCAGCCACTGGTTTTAGGGCCAGTTTTTTTTTCTAAGGCTGTGATATTGCTTGAATTCCCGAGGCAAGGGAGTCAATTGTAAAAGTCTAGTTATATTGCCGAACTAGGCAGGAATTTCGTGGCTCGATCGTAGCACCACCAGTGGTTTTACGAGTTATGTCCCTTCTACGTCCATCCTATTGACCAATCAGATTCCACCTATCATATTACTTGGTAGTTTCAAACAAAATGGCGGCGCCCAGTCAAGACGATCTGACCGATAATCAAGATCTAGATTGTAATACAACGGGTCTTATCTCGCGAAAGTGCATCAAATTGCTTGAGCACCTTGATTAAAAACATGAGCAGATGTGGAAAATATCTGTCCACGCCGTTGACGGAACACATGCTTTTCAAATCCTGCAATCGACCGAAATCTGGATGGCGATTTACGAACCGGATGTCGATTTCCTTACGCGATTTTGATTGGACTTTGCACAGACTCGTTAGTCCAGCCAAAACACAACTCCGAAATTCCAGCCTAGTTCGGCCAGTGTGGAAACTGGACTGTTATAGTCAATTAACTCCCTTGCCTCGTGAAGATGGCGTCAAACAGCCTTCACTCTCTAAAACTCCGCGACAGGAGTACCCACATTTTCTTGTATTGATGTATATATTTACTTACGAAAGAGGCCATTCATCACATTATTGTTTACCACCGTGTGGGGAGTTTATCATGTTTTAACGGCGTTGGTTCAGCGCCATGTAACAGCGTCCACTGCCAGTATATATGTATACGTATTTTTGTTTTGTAAATTTGTTCCTCCTATTATGTAAACATTATGTCATGATTAGTTAACATCACTGAAGAAATATTACACGAATGTTATGGTTAATTGCACATAATTAGTGTAGAAAGTAATTATGAGGGCCTCGCCCATGTTCATGTCAAGACTGCAAAATACCATGGCCCTTTGAACAGTGTGTCCAGAGCTACAATGGAGATCTATGTTCAATTTGCAGACTCGTTAATTGTCTTAATCATGCATCTGTTGTACATAGCCTTCCGTCTGTCATAGCGTGTGATTCTCCAACATATATCCTCTGCCGTGGTGATGGTATAGTACCGCTAAAAACTTGTATAACCTTTCCAGCTCAACCAGTCGTTATAAAATATATACGGCTGGATATATTTCATTAGGGAGCGTCCATTCGATTTGAATGTTGTATGAGGAAGGTCGAGGTGGAACTCGGTAGGGGGAGGGGGGTGTGGGAGGGGGGTGGGGGTGCAATATATTTCCCAACTGGTTCCAACCTACCAGTTATTTACTGAGCATCATCAAACAAACAATTCATTTTCACTATTAACCCCACAACGTTTACTTTTTGGTAATTTTCCACAATACAAACTGTTCATTATGTGACACCAAAGTGTTCAATTTGTGCATATTAATTCTGTACCAACTATTCATTTAAAAAAAATTCTTTCAACCCCAATAAATATCAAATGGATGCTCCCTTAGCCTTTCATGCTGACCTAGACTGGTACAAGTCTTTAAGGCAATGATTATTACTTTAAACGTAATTTCTAGATTATGTTGATAATAAGAACAAGTTGTCCCTATAAGAGACTGGGGTGTCCACATATCTAGAATTACTACACAATAATAGAAAAAAATATTAGAAAACTGCTTATAAAGTCTTCAATAATTTGGCAAGTCTAGATTTCTTCAGTTTTAGAAATTCTCTGGGTTTCAATTAGGACTGCGGTATGTACATCTGCTAAGCTGTCTCTGAGGCCCGAGCAAGCGTCTAAAGTAATGAAGCTTGTTCTATAAGAACAATAACGTCTAGGATGTGCGCATGTTTCCCCATGCAAGGGTTACGTCGATTAGAAGTGATATATTGTTTTGGCACCGTGTAAAGTCACAAGTTCTCATTCATTCCAGGAATAAATAGTTTTTAACCTGCATATCGTGTTTCCTTTTTGTTTCGCTGTTTCGAACATGGAACTGCTGTCAGGTCGATGCGTTTTTCAATTGCATGAATAAATAATACATATCTAGACAAGCAGACATACAACCACACCACATCATTGTATGCAGGGCGTATCATTACAGCCGTCATGGAAAGTTGAAATGTTATAGGACATGTTGATGTGACTAACAAGCCCTTTTTGTTAAATTGCTTGCTTTTTGACATCATAACTTAATGTTTTCGTTACATAAAGTCCTTCATCCCATGAATTGCTCACCATATGTTAGCACTGCTCGGCCGAGCAGACAACCAGCTTGCATTACAGAAACATGACCAGTTCTCAGTCACGTGGATAGTTTCAAAACAATTTCTAAGGTATTCCACGTCCCTTCACTGTGGCGGTTATATCCAGCCGTAGTTTAACATTGATACCTCACTCAGACACAGTACACTAACTCCGAGCCGACCAGTCCTTATTTTACCCCCTTAATTCCGGGTGCCAGACAGGGTGTCGGCAAGTACCGTTAAGGCAAATCTAGGATTCGAACCCACGATCACAGGTTCCTGGCACGCCTAAGGGAAGTAACTCTGCGCAGCGAATTGCCGCGCCTTAAGCTGGGCCGCCCATACCACTTTTCCCTATTGGGCAAATATCACATACAATGAATTGTCATCAGCTCCACCGCCAGGAGCAGCAACGTCACTACTTGGAATGAAAACTGTTAATGATAGACTTGTTAATGATGATTATCCTCATCATTATACATTACCATGTTTCAAACACACGGTGCCCTATATACCGCCATCATGTCGTGCACATATTACACTTGACATTTACTTAAGTTGTAATTGCCCGTTGTAATCGACGCTTTTCCACCCCAATTAGCCCAAGACGTGGTCTGTGGTACGGCCGTCAACAATAGATTTGATGTTGGCCACATAAGCTGATCTGCCTACTAATTACTCATATGGTTTATGTGTAGTAATTATTACATGTGATAAGGTTTATAAGGTTGGTGCATAATACGTTAAGTACATAGATTTGGTTAATAATGTTATTTGAAGATGACAATCAGAACAATGGTTTAGAGTTCCAAGATTATAAAAAAACCTCGCACTGATAAAACTGAAGTAAGCTCTGATTTAATTTTCTTAGCACAGCTACACACGTAAAGAGTGAGTGAGTTAAAATTTAACGTCGGATCGGCATTATTCCAGACATAAAGTGACTCACACACGTAAAGAGTGGCGGGAGGAGTTAGTCCAGTGATGAAAGCTTTCGCTCGTAATATTTGAAACCCATGTTCGATTCCCCGCAAAGGTTTCCATCGTCATGAATTTGTTGGAATTGTGCTTAAAGCGGCATAAAATCTACGCCCACAACAGTTGAATGCGCATAATACTTGGTAATGAAGATAAGCCGTTTGCAACCCGCGAATGATTTTGCTTAAGCCAAATGCGAAAACTTAGACATTTTCCCATAAGATTGACGAAGAATGCAATGTAATTGTGCGTGCGTGCGTGCGTGCGTTTGTGTGTGTGTGTGTGTGTGTGTGTGTGTGTGTGTGTGTGTGTGTGTGTGTGTGCGTGTGCGCGTGTGTTTGTGTGTGCCTGTGTGCCTGTGTGTTCTGTGTTACACAGCGATATGAGGAGAAGTATCGTGTTCATGCTACATACAGCTGCATTAGAGATGGGACCCAGCGTTACCGATTGGTCCCCCATTGCGTGTCAAAAGAGGCGGATAAATTTTACAGGTTCGGTGACATGCGTGGGATATGCTCATAAGACCGTCTAAACTAACGTATTGTCAATGAAATCTTTTGTTATACAAAATATTTTTCTCCTTCAAATATAAATTTCCATGATGTTTATTTCAGGTGAAATAGACCCAGCTAGATTTGCTTTTTTATAACCTGAATTGGTTTTGGTTTCATCAAATACATTTATTTCACAGTTCAGGACTTATGGCGGCCATGATAATATAGATCGAAAATTACTTGGGTGCACGGGTGGTCCAAGGCGCCGCAAATCGCTGTGCAGAGTCTTCGAGTCGCTGTTGGCCACGATTACACATGTAACGCCGTGATAT